ATATATATATATATATATATAAAACCAGATAATTAAAAACCGCAAACTTGTTGACATTAATCAAAATAATAGTGTATCAATTTCACTTCCCAGTACATGACGGTTTCTTGTCATAAATCAATCACATATATCGGACATACAACCACCTCCTTAAGTAGACTCATCACATGCCATTAGATCAAAGTGGAATGAAAAAAAAAAACATCTCGCCACCCACGATTTACAAAATCCCTTAAGGAAGATTCTGGTCCTAAACAACAAAATTCTATATAAATGAAATTACCGAGGACATCTCGCTGTAAGAGAGGCCCTGTATATAAAATATATCGCTCCCTATCAGCAGTGGTAATGGGGGGGGCAATAGAAAGATGCCCACTTGAATTCCAGTCGCGCTCAACACACGGAGCTCGGAATAGAAGTTTCTACTAGTATTCAACACAACAGAAAAAAACTCATCCAGTCACCATGACGAGAAATTAACAACACCCGAAAACAAACCGCCTTGAAAATGGCTAAAGAATTGGCCCAAAGCACTTGGTACAATTTTTGCACGTCCTAAACGGAAAAATGTAATAATGCTGAAAAAACTAAATAAAATGTTAATTAAATTTTCTTTGTCTGTCATATTCAATGAAACATATTTAAAGTAAAGGTTACTGCTCAAACATATATATATATATATATATATATATATATATATATATATATATATATATCGACGCTCTCCCCCGATGTCGCCATGTTGTTTCCTTTCCTTCGAGCACGCCTCTTCTCTGTTTCTTCTTTCCTCCTCCTGCCCTCAGTGTAAATCGTATCTTCATCGTGAGCAATCGATCGTTTGTGGCCTCCTCCCCCTCTCTCTCTCTCTTTCTGTATATATATATATATATATATATATATATATATATATATATATATATATATATATATATATATGTGGGGTGAACATTTCAGATAGAGTATATCTCTCTGTAAAACGACAATATGAATAATAAAGACAAAGCGAAAACTCTGTGGGACTTTATCAAAGCAAATACAAGTGTTTTATTTTGTAACAAATATTTATATCAGTGCTTTTCAACCTTTTTTCTGGAGTGGAACCCCATGGAAACATTCCACTGGCTCGAGGAACCCCTGTGCAATAATTTGGTTGTCTTATGCAAAAAACAGCATTTAATTAATTATACAAAAAAATGCAATTTGTAATAAAATGAAAATATTCATGTTCAGAGTATTGTAAATGAAATGAAAACAAAAGTGTACATGTTTGAATAGATTACATTTATTCTTATGAAAAAAGTCAATGGGAAACTTGAGCCTGGTGTTTCTTGCACAACTCTTTAAGATTGGGTCGTGTTTTTGACAGACACACACGAAGTTCATCTTCCACAGACCGCAATTGAGCTCGTTTCTTGTGCTTGATGGTTGTCAGAGCTGAAAATTTAAATTCACACAAGTAGGAGGTTGAAAATTACACAAGAAGTCGTAGCGCTTTCTGGGCAATTGCAGGATATTCCTTTTCAACCAGCAACCAAAATGCATTCAGGTTAAGTTCAGAATGCTTCAGCTTTAATGTCCTGTCATTTAGAACACTGGCAAGTTCTTCTTCTTCTGTTAATGTGAACTGTTCTTCAGGCGGCTCAAATTCTACAAATGAGTTTCTAATCCAGTCATACTGCTCAACAGATATTGATGGAAAATATTTGTCAAGATTTGTTAACAAAGTGTCCAAATGGTTCAAAATCAGTAGCCTAATTTCTTGACAATTCCTTTTAAAAACACATGGAAACATTTCCAAATTTCCTGCAGCTATGCGTTTCTTCCATATTGTCAATTTCTTCTGAAAAGCATTTATTTTGTCAGTAGAAGACAAGATATTTTCGTTCCTGCCCTGCATGCTATTGTTCAAGAGGTTTAGTTCATGAAATATATCGGCAAGATATGCTAACTTCGAACACCAATGGCCATTACTTAAACATTCTACAAAGTCTTTCAGGTTTTCTTGCAAACAAAAGGTCAATAACTCTTCTCTTAATTCGTAAAAATGAGACAATACTTTCCCCCTTGACAACCATCGTATTTCTGTGTGCTGGATTAAGGTGGAATGTTCTGTTTCCATACCCACACAAAGTTTCTCAAACTGTCGACATTTAAGTGGCCTCATCTTGATGTAATTAACTATTTTAACTACCATATCCAATGCAGATTTTAGTTCAGATCCAAGAGTTTTAGCTACTAGTGCTTCTCTATGAATGAAACAATGAGTATGGATAATATTTGGATTTTGTTTTTGTGCGATTGAGAGAAAGCCTTTAAGACATCCTGTCATTGCAGGGGCACCATCTGTACAAATACCAGCACAGTTTTTCAAGTTTAATCCACAATACTCTAAATATGAATTCAAAACATCAAATACATCTTGTCCTTTCGTTGTCCCTGGCAATTCTTTGAGACACAGGAAGTCTTCTACAATAGCTTCATCATCAATAAATCGAACAAATACAAGGAGTTGTGCTTTACCACTAATGTCCGTACTCTCATCAACTTGAAGTGCAAAAAAGTTATGTTTCAGTATTTCTGATTTAAGATTGCATTCAATGTCTTCTGACATGTCTCGAATGCGCCTACATATTGTGTTGTCAGAAAGTGGAATTTCATTTACTTCTGATACAGCATCCTCTCCAAACATTATCCTCACTATTTCTTGGCATGCAGGTAAAATTACAGTTTCAGCGATGGTATGAGATTTCATTTTTCTTGCAACTATCTCCGCCACAGCATAACTTGCTTCTTGTGCTTTGTCACTCAACTTGAAGTTTTTGGCAAACATAGAAACCTGCCTTTTATTACATTTCATTTGTCGTTGAAAATATTGTTCATCTTTGCTCGACAACTCTGGATGTTTAGTTACTAAATGTCGTTTCAGTTTGGCTGGTGCCATAGCACTGTTAGCCAGCTTCTCCCCACAAATAATACACAAAAGAAGGGCACTCTGGGTTTCCAGTCCAAGTAAATCCCAGAGCTATGTAGTTTTCACAATATTGACGAACTTTTAGTTGTAGGTTAATTCCACCATTTCTTGATTTCGATGAGGCAGCATTGCTGGTAGTAGTTTCGGCTTCAAAAGAGTGCCTCAGATCCTGTGTCTCTTCATCCGCATCTGTCTTGCGTTTTTCACAAATCTATCCATGGTTATAAAATCTGTAAAAGAGTTTCGATGATTTGAGTTTGAATATTTATTTACAAAATGTCAATAATAAAAAAAATAATAAAATTATGTTAGTTACATGCATATTCAAGCAATTGTGTTCTAACTTACATTTATTGACTGTTTTGCTCTATGTCTAGTAGATCTAGTTAGGTCTAGAATAGTCTAGATCTAGATTTTTGCTTTGGAAATTGAAAAAAATAACAACAGTTAATCGGCCGTCTGACAGTTTGTGGGTTAATAAAATAGATTTTCGAATTTGAATTTAACATGTTGTTTATTTGTTCGTGTTCTAATTTAGAAATTGCGGAACACCTGGACTGTACTGGCGGAACCCTAAGGTTCCGCGGAACCCTGGTTGAAAACCACTGATTTATATAGAAGAGCATAAATGTTATTGGTTTTTCAAGATTCTTGAGTTGTGAATACTCATAAATATTCATAAGGTTAGCTGAAAACATCAGGGAGGATGTGAAGTGAAACAATTCAATGTTTAATAAACGAAAGTGACTAAGTAATGTTTTTGAAAATTTATTTTCTTATTAGAAATTTTGTGCAAATTGGTATTTGAATTACCGTATGTTATTGCGCATCATGTGACTTTTGAAAACCGAATTTTGAAGCTAGCTGAGGTCGCATCATACACGAGATATAATATTAACGTATGTACTGCTGACCCTGGCTACGTCGTTGACCAAACTATTTACTGCAGTCAAAAAGTACAGCTGTATTTAAAATAAACATGACTTTGATAAAACTGATGTTTTACTTAACTGTATCCAATAATATTGCATGTAATATTCACTTATTAGTATCGTATTATAAAATACAAAGATGGCGAATATGCAATTTTTTCATTGTTTACGTTTATAAGATGTTTAGCTGTTTCTCGTTCGGTTGTTTATGGCTGTACGCGTTTACACAACGATTATAGTGTTACTAACGATACTTTTATCATTCTCTTTTACTTTTTTTAACTTATTTAACTAGAAGATGGGATAAAGAGATAGAGGAAAAGAGGTTAGCCTATTGTAATTTGGTCTCTCAAAAAAGGAACTCGCATGATACACGAGATATATGATAAAATCGTTTTTTACAGGTGAAAATTTGTCAGTGCCACGATACACGAGATCGTGCGTTACACGAGTATATACTTTAGTTTAATTTGGGATTAATTTATGTGTTATCTATTTTGAATAACATAAATGCATGAATTCAACCGTTTTTCCCTACATTTTTTAACGTTTTTGTAGTCATGTACCTTGGCTTGGGAAAGTAGTAGTTCTTTCAGGAATGGGGATATTGCAAAAAAATCAGAGTCGCAGATTTATATTTTGAAAAACCAATAACATTTTTGCTCCTGTATATAAATACATGTTACGAAACAAAATACTTGTATTTGCCTTGATAAAATCCCACAGAGGACAAAAGGCGTCGGCTAAGATAAGTTTTCCTTTTGTCATTCTTATTCATATATATATATATATATATATATATATCTTTCTTTCTGTGTTTGGCTGTACCCTTCCTGTGCACATCTTCTTGCTCTTCCTTGAACTCCTTGTGTCACACAAAAACATTCGATTTCTTCATAGCATGGTTGTCAACAGACTTTTTTTTTTAATGGGACTAACGTTTCCCTCGCGGTTTTACCAATCTTTACACAAAACATGATATTCATCGGCTACTACAGATGTCTTTCATGCATATTCTACTAATAACATAACATGAACACTTTCAATTTCCTCTATTGCTCAGTAACAAAATAACTCACCTGGTTTCCGTATTAAGATTGCGGAAGTTGGAACATGTCTGGACGTGCTTGGGTACACATATTGCAATCACTCCGTGAATTAAAATGTATATATTGTGCGTATTTGGGCAGCAGTTTTCATTTATGCTGAAAACTGATGAAAGTTCTTTTCTTAAGATTTTTTATTCAAACTTCGCCGGTTCGGAGCATTTTTAATTGTTTCCTGGAAGAATTTGAATAAAAAGGGCTCCATGTTCAGGCTGTTCCATCGAAAAAACAGGAAATTTTAGATGTATTATATAATGAAAAAAAATTAAGTAACATATGAACAAAATTACCTAGATATTTTATTATATGAATGAACTAAAAACAAATAACATATACATTTTTTAAACATTTGTTGTTCCAGGAATCAGCAGTTATCAAATTTTCAACGGAAGGTGATTGTTCTCTTTAAGAAAGAACAACCAAGAAATTTTGCCAGAGTTCTTTAGTTTGAACACTACATCTAACATTTGGGGTTTTGTTCTGTTCTACTAAATTTATCTGGGGCAGCAGATCATTTACTTCTAACTTTGCTTTTGTTTCAAATAACTATAACGAAAATTCCAACAATTAAATAAATTGTACCAAATTTCCTGTTTATTTTTTTTATTTTATTTATTTATTTATTTATTTTCTGTTAGCGTCACCCTGTATTTCTGGGCGCTTTCGGAATTCGTAAGACATTATTAAAGGATATTTTTATTTTGTCTTGATAATTCCGTGTTTATCTGTATGCATGGTATTCAGACATGACACCCAGCGCCACATGTTAATTTTACTTGTGTTCGCATTTTACTTTTTTGTTGTTGTTGTTGTCGATAAATGAAATGATGGCGGTATTTTATATTCTTTTGTTATTTTCTTTCTTTTTTTTTTAGGATAAATCACCTGTAAACGGAGCTAGTGAAGGTATGTGAAGTGAATTATTTAAGACGTTTTTGGTAAGTGAAATGTATTTTGCATAAGTTACTGGACTTAGAATTCGTCATTTTATCAGAATCTTCTGAAAATATACAAAGCATATGCACACATATATACGGACATTAATGTGTATATGGATTTTAATATAGGTAAAAAGAAATGAAAAAGCAGGACTTCATTTCTGGGATCATATAATGATTGTTGAATTTCCGGATTATACCATTTCCGGATTATTCTGACCGCTGTTTTCCATTTCGTTTATTTTGCTGTTGTATTTATCCGGTTGTCCAAAATAAGAATGGTTAAGAAGAAAGAGGAACGAAAACGTTATTTTCAAAAAGGCACTTCTGTCGGCCAATTTCATTACTTTAATTCATATTTTAAGGTATACATATTTTGCTTTCTCTGTCTGTCTGTCTGTCTGTCTTTCTTTCTCTCTCTCTCTCTCTCTCTCTCTCTCTCTCTCTCTCTCTCACACACACACACACACACACCTTCCCATGTTTAACAGACGTTTCGAAAGTATAGTGAGAAAAGAGGTGATAACAAATAAGTTATATATATATATATATATATATATATATATATATATATATATATATATATAAAGACATTTTTATGTTTATACATTCTTTTTATAGATACAAATATTTAAGTAAATGCTCTGTTTTATAATAAACAGTATTTATAACATTTGCAGGCCTGGATGTCCGATAAATTTTCATAGAAAATATTCGTCCTCCGACAAGAATCGAATCTGTATCCTATACGGAACTGTCATTTAGCCTGACGTGCCTTAACCGATTGAGCCACAGAGGATCGTTCCGTTAGCAAAGTCGATTTTACTGCTTTTAAACTATAATCTTCTATGAATCTCACGTACGTCCATTTCATAATATATATATATATATATATATATATATATATATATATATATATTATAAATTAACAGATTTAAAAATATGGTTCCTGAGAGTCAGTAGTTTACCATCGCCCGAGGAGACATTTGTAGTGTTGAAACATAATTGTAAATGTGTAGCGATTTTTAACATATTTTTCGTTTAATACCCTAAAAAAATTATATATATATATATATATATGCCAAAAGCTTAGGTTAGATTATCCAACTGATGCCAATTCAGCCGGGTTTCGATCCTAGCTAGAGGCAACCGGACCTCTAGCCACACTGATGAGCTGCGATACAACGAAACAGTCTGTCTGTGGATGGATCTATCTATCTATCTATCTATCTATCTATCTATCTATCTATATATATATATATATATATATATATATATATATATATATATATTTCTAAAAGAGTAATGGATATTAATTTATTAATTCAAGAGATTTTATTAGTTAAGTGTTATTTTCCGTGGTTGCCCTTACTCAAATAAGGATAGCGACTAAAAATTGCGTTTCAGTAATAAAATCTGGCGAATTATTAAATAAACATCCGTCACTTCTTTCGAAATTGTTTTGTTTACGTTAGGACATGAAACTGAGTATATATGAATGTTTCAAGAATCTGAGAAAAAGCCATTATAAAGAAACTCAATTCAATTTTGCTTGACTTACTTCCTGGTCGAGACGGTCTAAATCACGTCGTATTTAACGATGGTTTCTCCTGTCGAGGTGTGACTCAGGTTCGAATCCTGTCGGAGAGTGCACATTTTTCTTTAATAAGAATTCTCTAATATTCAGGCCGTTAGATGAAAATGAATAAATGTACTGTTTAATAAATAAACAGCGTGTCTAGTCAAATATATATAACCACTAAAGTTATATATATATATATATATATATATATATATATATATATATATATATATATATATATATATATTGAGCAGCAGATCATTATTTAAGCATATATTATTAAATATAACAGACAACGAATGTCTATTGTGTTTGATTATGAGCCGTTCTAAGTTTCGCATGATGGCTTCAGTTTCGGGAGAAAATGAAGACAAAAACTGTCCAACTTTTGGCTATTTTTTTTTATTATGCTGTTCCTCGATCTAAACTTTCGACTCACACGATCCATCATCAGAGTGGTTGTATGGACATTACAACAGAGATATTCAACATCAAAGATGACATCCTGTCATGTTTATACAGAAGTTTTCTATGCGACGATAACTCTGATATATATATATACTTTATTTTAGGATATTGTATCAAAAACATGGCAAAAAATGCTACCCAATTCCAGTTGTGTTTCAATGCATATCAATGCACCTCATTGCCTGATAAGATGCATTGATATGCATTGAAACACGAATGCAATTGTGTAGCGTTTTTGTTTTTGTTTTTTTTTACTTTTTTTTTGTTGACAGGTTTTTGTTGTTGTAACATCCTGAAGTAAAGAATATTGCTTTGTATTGAGCGCTCTTTTAAATGAAATGTCACGAACGTTGGAATTGTACTCTATTCGTTCTCAACTTGCCTGGATATATATATATATATATATATATATATAGGCAACCGGATGTCTAGCCGCACTGATGAGCTGTAAACAGTCTGTGGATGACATTATATATATATATATATATTAATTCAAAAAACAGGTAGCCAATGACTGGTGCCTTGTTTCATGTGTTTGCACACAATCATCATGTAGCCAGTGCCTGTAGTAGTAGGATGAGTACCCTCTATACCACGAGGCAAGTTTAATTTGACAGGCACACCCAACTCGTACGATGGAGAGGGTGAATCATCTAGACCTAAAATGGCCTTTAAAAAAAGATCTAAAATGGCTGTAAAAGGCTTGCCAGTATATCAAATAAATATGCTCAATAACAAGGGAAACTAGCGTTATGGTACAGGAGCTGAAGCCTTAAGGCAAAAAAGTGGTCCACTCGGCCGGACAACGAAATTCATGTTAAAGCATATATAAAATATATAAAGAATGAGAAGCTGTGAAAAGACACCGCCCAAAAATAGCATAAAATTGCTTAATGCCATAAGAAATGACAGAGCTTCAATATTAATTCAAAAATCAGGTAGGGACTTAAGCTCTGCCATTTCTTATGGCATTAAGCACTTTTATACCGGCAGTCTCTTTTCAGGGCTTCTTATTCTTTCCTGGATAAACAGCGTGAGTGTTTGCTGGGGCTCGCTGTTATTTGTCTCTAGCTCCTTGTGTTCAATTTTTTTCCCTTTTTCTTCTCATTACACATTTTCTGTTGTTTTTAATTTAAGTTAAATCTCCCATCCCATCTTCCATATGCATAAAGAAAAATTAACATATTCAGTTAAAAATAAAAATTATTATAAAAAAAAAATCATCTTTGATAATGGCTAACAGAATAGCCGAAAGTGGTCAGATATATAGATCATTTGGACAATTTTTACACACTTTATGTCCAGAAAAGAAATAATTTATACGAACAAGAAAAATGACGGTGTTTTCCTTGATGAATTTCACCTTAACATTAAGAAAATAATTAGAGAACTAGAGAAAGGATTATTATAAAAGTAAATAGACATAGTATTTTTATATTATTCAATGAAACAGGCTTGAACAGACACATAGATAGATAGATAGATAGATAGATAGGAATTCGACAAAATGATAGGACAAAGAACAAGTAGGAAACAGATCTCAATCTAATAAGTTTCGAAGACCAAGAGAGAAATGATAAAAATGATAAAAAGCAAAGAGATGTAGATTAACGGTATGTTATGTTTGGTTATTTCTTATTGGTTAAATATGTGTAATGAAGTAACATTAAATATGTGTTGCCAACATTATCGACGCTAAAGTCTGTAAAAGTTAGTAAAATGTAGTAGGATGCTTTGACTGAATACATGTCACATGTAATGAAGTAACGGATAATATTCAAATAAGTGTAAGAAAACATTCTGGAAGCTAAAGTGTGTAACGGTTAGTGAGACACTGCAGGATGTTTTGAAAAGGTTTTTAAGTATATGTCGTGCATATTATATATATAATTTTTATGTATTCGAAATTTTTATGTATATATATATATATATATGCGTGAAAATGTATGTATGTGTGTGAGAGAGAGAGAGAGAGAAAGAGAGAGAGAGTTTCTATTTTCCATGTGTATCTATTAATGTATTTTTCTTTCTTCCAACTTCGTCGCAGAATGTGCCGCCAACTATCCCTACGCGCTGATTAGTAAGTACGGAGTACGCCGTCTGATTGGGGAAGGAAATTTCGCCGTTGTCAAGGAATGCTGGGCCAGGTAACGACAACATCCAGCCTGTTTTGTAGGGGGTCAGAATTGTAATCCCTTTACGAGTCTATTTCTGACAACCGTTAACGGAATGAATCATAGCTAATTATTTCGGCTGTTGCATCCACCGACCTTCATCAGTTGCTTGTCGATCAAATAATAAAGTAACAATAGAATAGTAATATACAATCAAGTAACGAGTAATGAAATAATATAATAATGTAGCCATATATAATAAACATAAAATAATAAATAATAAAATAACAATATATAATAAAATAACATAGTAAAGTAACAATATGTGATTTAAGTAGCAAAAAGTAACAATCGGTTTTCAAATTATAAAATATAAAAATAAAGTGACAAATAATAACATAATAATATATAATTATTATATATTATTATATTAACATATTATTATTATTATTATTATAACATAATAATATATAATAAAATAAATAAGCACGGTCGAGTAATGGATAGCGGTTCGGATTGAGGAATCGGAGAGCCGAGTTCGAACTCCAGTCGAATTCACTTACGTGCTAAAACCCTTGGGAAAAGGTATGAATTCTCTTCTTCTTCACCCCCCACCCAAGCTATGGATAAACAGCAGGGCAGACCTGGTTCTGGTCTAGTGCAGAAAGAAATGGCTAATTTCCAGTCAGTCATGTATCGAAAGATACATGATTGTCTAAGCGTGTATCACGCATGGCACATCACTGACTGACTGATATAAAAATGTAACAATATGCAAAAAAAAAAAAAAAATAACATAAAGTAACACTGAAATAACAATATATAATAAAGCTTCAAATTTTGATGTATGAAATTATAAGGTAACAAATAATAAAAATATTGAGTAATAAAAGAAATAATAATGTAACAACATATAATAAAGTAACAAATTATAAGGTAACAATATTTAAATAAAATAACAAAATAAAGTAACAATTTATAATAAATTTGCGAAATATAAAGTATAGCAGTAATGTCAGTCAGTTATGTGCCATACGTGATAAACGCTTAGGCGATCATGCATCTTTCGATACATGACTGACGAGGCAGATTTTTTTTTCCGCGGTAGGTTGCCATTTCTTTCTGCAGTAGACCGGTTGCCATCCAAGGTCTGTCCTGCTATTTACCCATAGCTGGGGGAAGAAGAGGGTATTAGCACGTAAGTGAATGCAATGGATTCGACTGGAATTCGAACTCGGCTCTCCGATTCCTCAATCCGAGTGGCTATCCATTACTCCACCGTAAAATGACAAAGTCGAGGAACAAATAATAAAGTAACAATATGTAAAAAATTAACATAAAATGAAATAGCAAAGGAGCAATATATAATAACGTAGCCAATGAACTCACAATATTGAAAATCTTCAATGTGCCGTGTCCCTTCAGGACGTTGGCGATCATGTCTCTCCACAACGTCCCGTCCTTTATAGCTCTTAATAAATTTTCTCTTTTCGTTATTTTTCTTAAGCCTTGCTCCAGCATCCATTTACTCAAGCTCTCTAGGTAGTTTATGCGTTGTTTTCCTCTGTCCCTCTTGCCTTTATTATGCCCTGTGAGTGTCAAATTTACAAGCCTTCTTTCCTCATTATATGTCCGAGGAATTTCAGCTGGCTCTTCCAGACGTGTCCTTTTTGTTGCCATTGTCTCTAGAACCTCGTCGTTGCTCAAAAATTCGGTTTATGGTATCTTCAGCATCATTCTGCAGAACATCATTTCTGCCGCTTCAAGTCTCTTCTTCATCTATGAGGAGATTGTCCATCATTCACGGCCATATAGGGGGACTGATATTATGTAACAGTTCAGCACTCTTTTCTTTGTTTCTGTTGCTTCAAGTCTCTTCTTCATCTATGAGGAGATTGTCCAGCATTCACTGCCATATAGGAGAACTGCTATTATGTAACATTTCAGCACTCTTTTCTTTGTTTCTGTTGCTTCAAGTCTCTTCATCCGTGAGGAGATTGTCCAGCATTCACTGCAATATAGCATGACTGATATTGCATAACAGTTCAGTACTCTTTTCTTTGTTTGAATTCAGATTTGTTGTTCACCTATACTTGTTGCCATCTACAGCTAGATAGTCCCGCCTGTGCTGCTATTTAACCCATAGCTGGAGGAGAAGAGATGGATTCATACCTTTATGGGGTGGCATTTGTGCGAAAGTGAATGCTACGAAATCGGCTGCAATTTAAACATCGCTTACCGATTTTTCGATCCGAATCGCTACTATTACACGAAGATCTATATTTTTACATTATGTCACAAATACCACTGTGCAAATATAAACTTAATATATTGTGAAGTTATAAATATGTCCTCCTTCAAGAGGAATATTTCATGTTCTTTTATTGTCCGACAAGTAACATTTTTGGTGAGATTACTGGGGTTTTATAGATTATTTTTTAAAGATAGGTTAAATCAGGTGTTCCCAAACTTTTTTCCGCCATTGCCCACTTTCACTTTTGCGTCATCACCGTCCTGTATAGTAAATATTCAAAAGCATAACAAAATTGTTTGGTAACAGTTTGTTACTGGTTCATAAACTAAATTTATGATGTAGTAAAAATGCCAAAGGGAGATAACGAATAACGCTGCTGCTGCAACTAACATATTAAAGAACGAACGAAATCAAAACATGACCAAACTAATAATTTATTTTTATGATCAAGGTTACTTTTATGGTTAGGGTTAACCTTGAAAGTGTTGACAAGAAATAATTAAACGATTTTTGTTTTTAATTATAAAATTAAAATAATATACTCTACTGGCAACTAATAAATTTCAGTGTATATTTTTTTGTTGTTCTTGGTATTGTCTTATCTGATTTATATCCAAAAAATGTTATTTCGTTTGGCTAACTATTGTAACCTAGGAAAGGTTACTGAATAGAATAATCAACCGAGGGTTGGTAATGAACGATAATACTTAGGACAAGAACAACATATATAAGATTCGCTAGTGACGCGTAGAAGAAGTAGTCGACTGCTAGAAGTGAGTCAAGTGAATTCCACAATGAATCTCCAACTGCAGGATATCTACCAACCGCCCCACGCGGTCAGATGTGGCAAAGGCCGAATTTAATGTGGGGTATCAGAGCCCGTAGACTCGGCCAAAAATTCCCCGTAGACCCCGAATAAAACGGCGTCGGGTAGCTGTTTCCCGTGAAGAGACTCTGCCCTTCGACATAGCCTCGTCTGGGGATCCTCTCTGCCCAGAGACAGAGAGTTGGACTAGCACAGCTGGAGACAATTCTCCGACTGCAGACCAACATACAGTATTTACTACTGTATTTATATGAATGGGGACATTTGAATGATCACGCACCTTATCAAAACTATAGAAAATACCAAAATATTCGTTGTTTGCGGGTATCTTATCTTGGAATGTGGCCCACTTATTCCCAATTGGCCTCCTGTTTTTTATACAGGTTCTTTGCATATCTGAGTTTTTTCGGGTAGCATATGTTAAAATACCGTTTTAATATTCAAAATCCTATATTGCCCACCGAAATTTCTAATCACGCACCATTTTCTGTTCAGTTGCTCATCGGCTGCCCAACAATTGAAATCGCCCACCGGTGAGCGATATAAGCCAGATAGGGAAAACTCTTGTTTAGATCGACCATTCTGACTTCAGTAATTGATACTAATAGAATAGTAAAATAGTCTCTCTTAAGACTTGCGCTTACTCTAACAACGTTAGAAACGAAGAAAAAAGTCTGCTGGATTGGGATATGTCATCTTATCCTCCGAAATGGCAGAGAAGGCTGAACAATTTCGTCACAAATGAAGAAAAGAATTAAGATGACCGAAACAAATGAGAAGGAATAGCAAGCACTGTTAATCACAACCAGAAAAAGACAGCTGAAAGATACGGGCCACATAATGAGAAAAGAGAGTGTAGTGAATCTAACACTCCCAGGACACATCGAAGGCAGGAGACGCTGAGGAAAGCAGCTGTTGATCTATTTGATAAGTCTGTGCAGACAGAGAGTCAAAGCCTACAAAGGGGGGAAAGGGATCATAAAGGAGAAAGCGTTTCAGAGACAAACAAAAAACCGGAAGTTGTGGAGAGCCATGATCCCCACTTCCTGAAAGGACAAATCACATGGAAATATTTTTAAATATATATTTTTTTAATTCTTAAAGGACAATTTTAATACTTATTTACTTTAGGATGAAAAGTTTAAATAACTAAATTTTAGATTGAAATTTTTAAATAATTAAATTGACGTTTTGATAATATTAAAAAAATTGCCTAAGATTTTAGAAATTTAAATATTTTTAATTTAAAAAATAATGAAAGGTTATAATTTTTGAATTCTATGCAAACTTATGAGAGGTACTCAATTTTTATTTTTATTTTTTTATAACTGATTCTTTCAGGAATATCTTAGGAGCTATAAATATATTAGTTTCCTGATGTAGAAACAACGCTTCGACCTTTGCAGCCTGCTTGCTTCAGCTTTTAGCGACAATTTCACACCTAACACCAATATACACCCTTACCACCATGGAAAATTAATGTGATGCGATCTTTGTCAATTGTTTCATCGAAGCGAGTTTTCTGTGGGGCATTTTGTTAACGATCGAATTGTATAAATGCACTTAAATTTCTTCCTTGGCTTACACATTTCTGCACACCCCAGCGCGCGACGACACACACACGCACGCACCCACCCACACACACACACACACACACACACACACACGCATGCATTTTTTATTACAGTAATAAATAGGAGTAGACAGGTTTGTCTATCGTCCGGTTCACACTCCTTCTCGGTCTTTTGACCAGGAGTAGAAGTTTATCCATTGTTTCCGGTTTAGGATTGGGTTTCCGGTTCCTGCCAAAGTCTTCTCATTCTCTTTCACTCCCAGTAAGCCCCTTGCGTTTTACTAGCATTATCGCCTTGCTTAGGGTGAATTGATTACATATATATATATATATATATATATATATATATATATATATATATATATGATGGACTCTCCCATCGAGTATCGATGTATGAGGTTCTGACGACCACGAACTAATTATCTGCATGCCAATGACGGGCATGACTTTTGAGAACGACTCAAGAATTGCACAAAAGACCACAAACACTGCAGGAGAATGTATTGTATCCAAGGAACACTGTTAACACTGTTAGATGTTACTTCTCATTTTGCGACTAGAGCTTTTTCTTTCTGGTACTGAACCTGGAGAGTTCGTAGAAGATGAAGTTGAGGTTGTTTCAGAAAACAAAACAATTAGATGTAGTTGTCAGAAAACAAACACAAGATTTGTTTCAAGTGGTGAAGGCTTGTGTTGGACCATCCGCACTTTTTGGATCTGCCGATAAAAAAAGTAACGGCGCAAAAGACTTGCCACGGAAACACCGAAAGACAGTCCTCATGTGTTATTGTCGCGGAGTTTAACCTCTCTGGATAACAGTCAATACTAGCTAGTACACACCTCTTGACAGACACATGCAATATAATGACCGGGTTAAGCTTTCACGAGTTTTCCATCCCATCTGAAGTCATTTTATCGTAAAACCAACACTAAAAGGAATGCTAATCAAAGTTCAGAGAGGCTCCTTTCACCCTCATCATTAAAATTACCTTGATAAAGCCGGATTGACGAAACGCGCCTTCAATGACTAAGAAATATATTTTCCAATTGTCTTCTTTTTATCCAAATTGCCTTCAGAATTATTCTGAGAAATTTAACCATATATATATATATATATATATATATATATATATATATATGAATAAAGGCAAAAAGGAAATTTATCTTAGTCGACGCGTTTCGCCCTCTGACGGACTTTAAAGTTAAATGTGAGGACTTTATTTTGCAACAAACATTTATAAGCAAAATTAAAAAAATGTTAGTTTTTCAAAATGTTTAAATTTAAGAGACGCTCATTAATATTCATAATGCTAACTGACGTCAAAACTGGGTAAATTATGGAAGATGCTAAGTGACGTAATTTAATATCTGATAAACGAAAGTAAGTAAATAATTTTGTTGAGTTTCTTTATGCAAAACTAAATAAATTAATTAAATTAAATTAATCTTCGTTGGCTATAACGTGCAGGTTCATGATTTTGCACGAAAACCTGCTGCCGTTATCCATTCCTAATCACCATTTGGCTTTGCAAGATTTGGTTGGAGCTGAAACAAAATCAGTGTAGAAGAAAGTACCGATGGCGTGAATTTGTTTAAGGTGGACCTCGACTTGCCCGGAAGTGACCCACACACTTGATTTCATGACCTTCCTCTGCGGCATTTATGGGATGAAACTTGCAGTATTCAGTTATGAAACTGTAACGAACTGCCGCTAACTCAGTTATAATTTTGAGTGGCGACTTCTGTAGAATGTCCGTCATTCTTAGCCCTCTTCATCCGTCAGTTCAACGTTTGGAATCTGTTGTAATCTCGTCATCCGCTTGTTCCATTGTTGGGGTCTTTGGAGTTGGTCACGCTTAGTCTTCGACCTTCTTCGCCAAGGGTGGCCCTACTAGGAGTTTAGAACACATCTGATGGCCACTCCTTGTCGTGCTGGAAAGGCTTGTGTGGTTCAATAAAATAAATACTGAAATATTAATTGCATATAAGAAAAATTGATTGACATCAACATAACTTTATTAAATAGAATGATATTTTCTGCCTGTTTATAAAGCAAAATAAAAATCTTCGGATAAAAATCTCAAAATCCTATATCGCCCACCAAAATTTCCAGTGGCCCACCACTTTCTATTCATTTACTCATTGCCCACCCAACAGTTAAAATCGCCCACCCAACAGTTAAAATCGACCACCCAAGTTAAAATCGACCACTCAACAGTTAAAATCGCCCACCCAACAGACAAATAGTCCACTAAGCAGTTAAAATCGACCACCCAACAGTCAAAATCGCCCACCCAAAAGTTAAAATCGCCCACCCAAGTTAAAATCGCCCACCCAACAGTTAAAATCGCCCACCCATCAGTTAAAATCGACCACCCAACAGTTAAAATCGACCACCGGTGGGCGATATCGCCACAAGTTGAGAAGACCGGGTTTATATGCTCATTCACTTCTCTATCATCCACCGTAGGATACCAATAGCGAGACCTTTTACATTTTTTTTTTTTTTTTTTGGCGATGAAACGAAGTGCCAGGGGAATTGGATTCATGACTATTACGCGGGTTGATAAGTGGACATAATCTGCCTCGGCCCAAATAAAAGGAACCCGGCTTAAAAGATTCTGTTTTCTGCGTTAGTAATCGTTACGCCTGCGTGCGCCAATCTACGCCCTCACTACAATTTTTTTCCCTAATATCAACAACAAAGAACAAACAACTGAAATAAAGGGCATGGATTGTTGACCTCCGGCCTAGTTTCAAATGCCGACCGCCTTTTCAGGCTCGCCTTCTGTCCTTCTGTAGTAGTAGCGTTTTTTGACAGACCTTAAGTAAACTCCAGCGATGCGCGAAACAGAAAGTCGTAGATGCGCGTGCGCAAGCACCACTATTAATTTCAGCCATTTCGTTTGAAATCGCTTTTCACCTTCGCTTTTCAATTTTTATTTGTTTTGTTTTTTTTTTTTTCGTTGTTGTTTCCTTCCTTCCTTCCTTTTTTTTTTTTTTTTTTTTTTTCGCTTTCATCCGCCTACGTTTTGCTGACCTTTGTTTTGCTTTTCACCATTTTCAGGTCGACAAACACGCGATACGCTTTGAAAATTATCGACAAAACGAAATGTTTAGGAAATGTAAGTACGTCCTCTTGCAGAAGGAAAGCCCATCAACTGCCTGGAAGGGACTTGTTTGCGCCTCTTCTTTTTTATTCGTCTTTATTTAAACGTCATATAAACAGAGGCCCATGAAATAAAGACACCCAAAGAAGGTTTCATATATAAAACTATTAAAATACATTTAATTAACAGAAAACATTTAACTGACATTTCTATTGCATATAGTTCATATTATCTGCTGTATGGAGATGGTAAATGTTTTTCTTCCGTAATCTATTGCCAGTAAAAAAAAATTTCTCACTAGGTACAGATCCGAATTGCAAACATCGACACTGATCTGGTTAGGAAGAAATTTGAAAAAAAAAACCTTGTTCTATTTCTGGGGTTGTCCACGGATAACTGAAAAAGAGAACATGACAATAAAAGGAAGCCATTGTATTTTGGTGAAAAGTTAGAGACAGAATTCTTTAAGAACTTGTCATTTTTTTCTTTTTCTTTCTTTTTTTCTTTCTTTCTTTCTTCCTTCCTTTTTTTCTTTCTTTCTTTCTTTAAGAACTCGTAATGTTTCTCTTTTCCTTTCTTTCTTTCTTTTTTTAAGAAATCGTCATTTTTCTTTTTTTCTTTCTTTAAGAAATCGTCATTTTTCTCATTTTCTGTCCTTCTTTAGCTTTAAGAAAACATCATTTTTCTCTTTTTCTTTCTTTCTTTCTTTAAGAACTCATCATATTTCCCTTTTTCTTTCTTTTTTCTTTTTTAATAACTCATCATTTTTCTTTTTTTCCTTTATTTCTTTCTTTTCTTTGATACTTCGTCATATTCTTTTCTTTATTTCTTTCTTTCTTTCTTTCTTTCTTTCTTTAGTAACTCATCTTTTCTTTTTTCCTTTTTTCTTTTTTCTTTCTTTAAGAACTTCGTCATTTTTGAGTACTCGTCATTTTTCTTTCTCTTTCTTTCTTTCTTTCTTTAATAACTCATCATTTTTCTCTTTTTCCTTTATTTCTTAATACTTCACATATTCTTTCTTTATTTACTTCTTTCTTTCTTTCTTTGAGTATTCGTCTTTTTTCTCTTTTTCTTTCTTTCTTTAAGAACTCGTCATTTTCTTTTTTTCTTTCTTTCTTTCTTTCTTCTTTTCCTTTAAGTACTCGACATTTTTCTCTTTCTTTCTTTCTTTCTTTCTTTAATAACTCATTATTTTTCTCTTTTTCCTTTATTTCTTAATACTTCAGTTATTCTTTCTTTTCATTTCTTCTTTTTTATTTATTTTCTTTAATAACTCTTCAGTTATTCTTTCTTTCTTTACTTCTTCATTTATTTATTTCTTTAAATAAATCCTTCTTTTTCTTTAATAACTTGTCATTTTTTCTTTCTTTCTTTAATAGCTCGTCATTTTTCTCTTTTTCTTCCTTTCCTTCCTTCTTTTTCTTTAATAACTTGTCATTTTCTTCCTTTCTTTCTTTAATAACTCCACATTTTTTTCTTTCTATCTCTCTTTCTTTCATAGTTATCATTTTTCTTTCTTTCTTTAATAACTCATTTTTCCCTTTTTCCTTTATTTCTTAATACTTCACATTTTTTTCATATTTTTTCTCTCTTTAATAATTTATGATTTTTCTCTTTCTTCATTTAATAACCCGTCATTTTCCTCTTTCTTGCTTATTACTTCACAGTTTCTTTCTTTCTTTTTCTTTCTTTCTTTCTTTCTTAATATCTCGGGGCTTCTTTCTTACTGCATACTTTGCCTATTCTTATGTTTTTTTTTAACAACTCATCCAACGTTCTTTCTTTTCTTTTTTACTTATTACCTAATATTTTCCTTCTCTCTTTGTTTGTTTGTTTCTTACTTTCTTCCCTTTTGTCCTTCTTTCTACCCCCCCACCTCCATCCTACTTCTTTCATTCATCCTTGTTTTTTTCTTCCTTCCTTCCTTCCTTCCTTCCTAATAACTCATCGCTCTATTCTTCCTTTCTTTCCAAGTTACTGTTGATAGACGTTACTGGAGATGTCACTCTGTTACGGAACATTCGCTACCCAACAATAAAAAGGATTTCTACAGACGGTTTTTAAAGGGACGGATATAGGAGCTATGCTTTTTTGAACACGTTTGATAAAGTGAATACTATTTAATTTATCCTAGCAATATGTGACCAGCTTTCATGAACGTTCGACCTGATGACGTAACATCATTCAAATCAATAACTGACCGACGTCAGCATCTTGCGTTCCAGTGTCAATGTCGGTTGTATATCGTTTTATACTGGAAATTACCCGCCGTCTTCCTCGGCTATTAAGTTTACGCAATGCGAGGGAATAAACTATTAAGTCCACTTACGTCATAACAATAAAGCAAAAAAAAATGATTTATATATAAAAAATTTACTCAATGGAATTTTTCTAATAATAACTAAAAGTATTAGATTAATACAAAAGTTTCCAGTATATATTAGATTTTCCTATAAATTCATAGTATTATTATTCAGTCATCAAAATACTACGCTCGCTTTTTTATGACCTAACAGCTAAATTTTGTATTCTACCTTGAAATGAATTATCCCGATTTGATTCTATATATATGAAGAAATATAGTCTTAAGGTGTGCTATATTTATGGGATAAAGTGCTCAATATCAGAGCTAGAGAGTGTGTAAATATAAAAGTGAACATAGAAGTCAACACTTAGAGGCGACAGTCTGTTTCATGCAAGATGCAAGTGTTGACTTCTATGTTCGCTTTTATATTTATATATACATACATACACAAACACACACAGGCACACACACACACACACACATATATATATGTGTGTGTATTCGGTAACTATCTTATCCATTTTGTGTAAGAACATTTCTATATATATTATATATGCGCGTTACTTATTGGAAAGCGCTCAATATATTAGCTCTATCACTGATATTGAGCGCTTTCCAATAAGTACTGCGCATATATAATATATATATAGAAATTATATATATATATATATATATATATATATATATATATATATATATATATATATATATATATATATACATATATATATATATACATATATATATATATATATTTATATAATATCTATCTATCTATCTATCTATCTATAGATAGATAGATAGATAGATAGATATAGATATAGATTATATATACATATATATAAATATATATATATATATATATATATATATATATATATAAATTATTATATATATATATATATATATATATATATATATATATATATATAGGGCAGCAGATCATTATTCAACCATATATTGTTAAATATTGCAGACAACGAATGTCTATTATATCATCATGAGCCTTTCCAAGCGTCGTATAATAATAGCTCATGTGAACCGAAAGCTTAGATCGATGGCCAATATAATAAAGAAATATCCAAATTTTGGACAGTTTTTGTCTTTATTTTTTCTTCAAACTGAAGTCAATTTACGACGCTTGGGACGGCTCATGATAAAACATAATAGATATTCGTTCTCTCTCTCTCTCTCTCTCTCTCTCTATATATATATATATATATATATATATATATATATATATATATATATATATATATATATATCGTAGAATGAGATCGATAAGTGTAGTCGGTCTGATGAGACGAATATACCTATATTCCTCGAAATATGGATTTTTAAGTTTCTTTCCTAATTATTATTATTATACACACACATGCACACGCACACACACACATACTTACATACACACACACACACACAGACACACACACACACACACACATATATATATATATATATATATATATATAAATATGTTGAAATTGATTAAGTCCGACAATTATTTAATATATTTTCTGTTAATACGTTATTTCTATAGATATAATTTAAGTAAATGCTCTGGTTTAATTAAACACTATTAATATATAAGAAATATGTATGTGTGTGTGTATATGTGTGCGTGTTTCTTATCAAATCGCGAAATAATATTGTCTTGTATGGAAACTCTTCTACATCTTTGAACATTAATGATGTTATTCCCTAGATGACACATTTTTCCTAATTTTCATCAATGACCTTCCTGATGTCATCAGTTCTCAACTTGGTATCCATGCTGATGACACTTTCTGATTGGTTCGATGAAGTCAAATTGGCAGCTGATCTAAAAAAAATACTTATAATCTGTTGTTAACTGGGGCAAGTAATGGCTTGATAATTTTGTCGTCTTCAAAACGAAAGTGCTCTTCTTTCAACCGTCTGAGCGAATCTTTTTTTTTTTGTCTTCCATCAGCATATCTAAAGCTAACAACCAGGAAAGTGACCCATTGCGCCTTCTCGGACTAACGTTTTCCACTGACATCAAATGGAAAGATTTACATTGAATCAGTTGCAAGGTCTGCTGCTAAGAATGTTGGTTCATTGTGAATTTATCTTGCCAGAATTTATCGTACACGTTTATAAAGTAAACCATGAGCCCTTGATTTGACTATTGCTGCCACATCTGGTCTGGTGCTGCTGCTATATATTTAGAGATTCTTCATAAAATTCAAAAAAGAATCTACAACGTTATTTGTACTGATCTGGCATCTCGGCTTCAATCACTTTCCCACTGTCATAACGTAGCATTCCTGTGCCTTTTCTTTTAAAATACTTGCATAGTAATTGTTCTATAGTACCTAAACTTTACGGATTTAGCGCAGTATTAGATTAGCGGCAAGATCTCTTCATTTTACAGTTGAAACGGCAAGATTCAACCGTAAGTTCTATGCTAATAGTTTCTTCCATAGCACTTCTCACTTGTGGAACTCTCTTCCGATTTCTTGCTTTCCAGTCAACTTTGACCTTCAAAACTTTAAATTCAATAGCAATCATCATATTCTGCTTCTTAATTCCATATTTTTTTATTGTTATCCCTCCTTAATAGGTTTTTTTTTCATATTCAATAACATTTAGTAACCAGTTACATCTTAGTGGGTTTATTAACTTGCTTTGGGCGAAATGATTAATATATATATATATATATATATATATATATATATCGGGAAAACTATGACAAAGTAGAAAAGGTTTCTTACTTTAGAATTTTAATCTAACTAAAGTGAGGCTTACCTTGATGCGACTACGCATGCGCACAAAGGGGAGGGGACGGATCCCATAATTTCAAAATTTTCGATTTCAAAATTTTCGATTTCAAAATTTTCGATTTCAAAATTTCCTTAAACATTTAATTCAAGTTTTAAAATTTAAAATCACAAATTCTTATTCACATTTTTAGCAATTCTTTAGCGTTCATAATTTTCTGTCTGAATTTCTGGGATAAGAAGTTGTCATTATTTGTACAATTTATGTTCGGATTATTGTCCTCATCTGTGTTCTTCTCACAATGGTTCAGCCGTTGTGCCTTCCGGCCTTCCTCAGGTGTATATCGATCTGGGTAACCTACAGGGAATTCTGAACTGAATCCTTTATTTAGTCTACGCGAGTAGACTGTTCTCGTTCTACTGTTTAGTTATCATGTTTTTTTTTGTGGGGGGGTTGTACATGTACAGAAAGTAAAAAACATTATTTTTTGTGAAATCTTAACATCCCTACTTAAAAATCCGCGTGAGCATTACATGACTAGTAGCAATACCTGTATCTGTATGTACACAAAATTTATTAAATTTTATATAGAACTACTTTCAGGGTATATATATATAAGCTGTGATATGAAATGTAAAGAGATATCATAATTATGCTTGGGTTCCATTCCCAGGCTGCTCCATTTTATAGATGCTAGATACAAATTAAATAGCCTGTATTCCAAAATCCGAAAAAATATGAAAACCGAAGCACTTCTGGACCCAAGAATTTTGGATAACGGATTCTCAACTTGTATTAATTGTTCACCAATTTTTCTTTTCCTCTTATTTTTGTTGCTTTTTATCGCAATATTCAGCTTTTTTTTTGTCACCTTCTACGACCAGCAGTCAGAGGCTACTTTGAAAAAAATCTCTATTGCTTACTTAACTGGCGTAAACTGTAAATATGTCCCGAACCTTTACGTCTAAAAAAAAGCAGCAAAAATAAAAATTTAAATCAAAGATTGATTTAAAATATATTAAATTATCAGCCTAGTTCAGTTTCTTTTCTCGCACTTCTCGCTTGTAGAAATATCTTCTGACTTATTGCTTCCCAGTCAAATTTGATCTTCAAAAATTTAAATGCAATGTCAATCGTTATCTACTGTTTAATTAATTCTTGTACTTTTATTGTTCTCTCTCCTTAATAATTTTTTTTTTCACACACATATTCTCTAACATTCGATAACCCCCTTGCATTTTAGTGGCTTATTGCCTTGCTTGGGGTGAAATGATTAAAAAAATAAACTAAAATAAGATTTAATTTAATAAGTTTCTATTGCGATATCTTAAGAATTTTGTTGCTTGTTTTGCAGGTGCAAATGATTGAGAATGAAGTTTCAATTCTGAGACGTGCAAAGCATCCAAATATTATTCGTCTTATTGAAGAATTCGATTCTCAGGACAAACTTTTCCTTGTTATGGAACTCGTAAAGGTGAGTTGATTTTAACACTGGTCATTTCTTCATTTTTCAAAGCGAAAGGGGTTTGTGTTTCTACGCACCAAAACTTGTGTAAGCATTCGCTGGTACTTACATCCCGAAAGACCCTTCCTGAGATGTCAAAAATTCTTTTGACAATCCAAGATATAGTGTCGATGCACAAACTCTTCAGTTAGAGCATCACTGGAAAAATCTACGCAGTTATTAAATCCGTTCCGTCAGGTAGGTCCATGAAGGTGGTTTTTGAATGGTCACTCTTCAGAAGACCACGTGATCAATGTAGGCGTCCTCCAAGACTCACTCCTCGGCCCTATACAGTTTCGGCTTTTTTATTAACCATGTGCCAATGAACAGTCTCAAATCATTAGTAAGGATATATGACGATGATCCACAGCACCTCCCGCCTCAAAAAAAAAAAAAAAAAATCGAAAAGTTCAGAGCCTTACAACTGATCACTCAGCTGACCTAGTTCAAACAGCTCAACGGCGAAGAACTGGTTTCTAATTTTCAATAACTCACAAACTAAGATCTTAACTTTTCATTATCAACGCACTGACTCTGGGCTTTCCTTTGTCATGGTGACCGGTTTCACTCTAAATGAGGCTCCGTATCTATTGGGACAAGTTCACTGAAGACCTCAAGTGGATGGACACTGAACTATCACCAATCACTTGAGCGCCTATCAGGTTTTAAATTCAAGCCTAAACCTCAAGAGGAACTTGTATATACAATCCATCGCTAAAGGATCAAGGAAAATGGTCTGTTCCCGGTATTGCTCTAGTAATTACCCGACTCCTTGTGCTATCCTCCACCTTTACAAGATCCAGATCGAACTAGATTTCTTATTTTCACGAGTTTTAACCTTCACGGCTAAGATCCGCCATGCTATGCACCGTAGCGAACCACCCACATTCCCTTGGCGAGATGCAACTTCCATCAGACCATCTTGTTTCTGACTCCTAAGATAAGGCTTCCCTGATCACTACAATCGTAACCTGTTCAATTCTAGGGTTAACCGTTATCTTTCCCACCTGTCCGCATGAACTGTGCTTCTTACTATGTAAACTTCTACCTCGAGTGTCTCCCGGGCCTTGTACAGGGTGAATCCGTCGCTAAGTATGTTGGAAAAAGGTCAGCTCATTATACCGCTCCAAAAAATGTGCATGACACCTTCAACCATTACAAGAGCAAGATTACACCCAAAATGGAGTATTGGCTGAAGCTACACAATCGTCAATCTTATGGCTTATTTTCCAATCTACGGCCCCTTTCTTCACAGGCACAAAATTGTAAGCCTATCGCTACATTATCACTATGTCCATCACAAACGTTCAGATGAGTTCCACTCTGTGGTTCCACAAGTTCATACATTCACAGCGTGGATATACCATTCTATATCCACCTATTCTAATCATCCATATTTGCCGGAAAATAGTCAGTGTTTACAGCCAACTCGCCTTCGGGGCTCCACGATGTTTTCTCTCTGGATTTACTTCCATAGCCTTTCCCGTGTTTTGAATATCACCGCAAGGTTTAAAATCGATGTTTTTCTTCCCCTTGATGAACTGCCTTCCTGGGCTGTCGAGCTCCATCTACCCGAAACAGATGGTCGTGAGGCGCCAGTTTTCTGCCTTCACCCATTCTCCGGTTTGAATAATAACGTTTGTTATAATAAAAAGGATGAAGGCAAACATGGACCTTAGTGTCTGCCAAAAATGGAGTGTCAAAAGGACGCTTTTCCCCATGACACCGCTTTGATTTTAACTACCTTCATTCTTCGGCGATGTTTATTGTTTTAAAAAGCAATGATTAGAATTGAAATAAAACTTAAACACATGATGAAAGTGAATTTATATTTTATTCTTTGCTCTTGGGAATTTACAACAAAGATATTAAACATTATTTACTTATTAGATTGTTTATTTACAAGAATAATTTTATATTTACAACCTTCTCAAAGCTAATACAATTCTATTAAAACTAATGCAATGCAATATTTATCATTTACCAATTTATAAAGAAATAAATACGATATCAATTTTTATTCATAAAATTTACTAAATTATTAAAATATCTAAATCTGTTGTAAGTAAATTCTTATTATTTACCATTTTATAAATTTCAAATCAGTTGGCAGTTAGCCGATGTTTTGATAAGCACTCCAATAAACAATCTAATAAATAAATAATGTTTGTTATTTTTGGTTTGGTTTGTTTTGTTTTACGGCTTATCAACCTCAATGGTTTATTTAATGCCGACAAGATTTTTATTGCTGGTAATATTTCTTTTTCAAAAATGTATTGCTGGTAATATTTCTTCCACAAAAATGTATTGCTGGTAATAATTTTTTTCATCAAAAATGTATTGCTGGTAATAACATTTTACAAAAATGTATTGCTGGTATTAAAACCTATTTTTACACTTTCATAGTGTTTTGACCCCAATTTGGGGGTTAACTATTCGCCCATAGCTGGGATCCTAACAGGTGTTACCACTCCGGCTCAGGGTTGACCTGGGAACACCAGTTAAGAGGTGTTTCCATGCTTCTAAAAACCTCCTGATCAGAGGCCTTGCTGTTGGACACAGTTTATCGTCATACCCAGGACGCGGATGTAGTTTATCGTCTTACCCAGGACGCAGATGTAGTTCATCGTCTTACCCAGGACGCGGATGTAGTTTAGTGTCTTACCCAGGACGCGGATGTAGTTTATCGTCTTACCCAGGACGCTGTTATTTTTGTTGTCATTTCTCAAGAACAAAGAAAATGTATAAATTTACTTTCATATGTTAAGTTTTCATTACAATTCTAATCATCGCTTTCGGAAATAATAAACATTGCCGAGGAGTGAAGGTAGTTAAAATAAGAGTGGCGTCATGGGAAAAACAGTCCTTTTGACACTCTTTTTACTTTGTTTTATTTTTATTTATTTATTTTGGGGGTAGCATGAAGGTTCCTGTTTGCCAAGATGAGGATATTAGTCCTAGTATAAATAATTACTTTCTTCTCCCAGTATTTATGCAGTTCTTTCTTATTATGATTTTTATATGCAGGGAGGAGACCTGTTTGAGCTCATAACAACCAGCACAAAATACACGGAGAAGGTGGCCAGCAGAATGGCCAATAACATGTTCAGCGCTTTGGCCTATCTCCATGCTGCCGGAATTGTCCACAGAGACGTCAAACCAGAAAATTTATTGGTAAGTAAACAATATTCATTAAAGACTCATGTCTGTTTCTATTTCTGTGATGAGTTATTGTAACTATTTAGACTATTTACATTGTTCGGACTGTTGTCCTCATATTTATTACTATATTCCACACGTTTCGGCCGTTGTACGCTCCGGCCTTCTTCAGGATATATCTCTATTTCTGAGATTAGGTATTGTAACTGTTTACACTATTTACATTGTTTGAACTGTTGTCCTCATCCTTACTGTCACATTTACAACGTTTCGGCTGTTGTATGCTCTGGCCTTCTTCAGGATCTGTCTATATTTCTTTGATGAGGTATTGTAACTATTTACACTATTTACATTGTTTGAACTGTTGTCCTCATATTCACTGTCACATTCACGACGTTTCAGCCGTTGTACACTCCGGCTTCTTCAGCAACTATCTACATTTCTGAGATGAGGTATTGTAAATATTTACACTATTTACATTGTTCGGGCTGTTGTCCTTATTTTTACACTTACATTCTCGACATTTCGGCCGTTGTACGCTCCTGTCTTCTTCAAGATATATCTGTGTTTCTGAGATGAAGTATTGTAACTATTTACACTATTTAATTTATTCGGACTGTTGTTCTCATCTTTACTGTCGCATTCACGACCTACTACAGGATCTGTCTACATTTCTACTGAGATGAGGTATTGTAACTATTTACACTACTTACATTGTTCGGACTGTTGTCCTCATCTTTGTTGCCATTTTCACGACGTTTCGTTCGTTGTATGCCCCGGCTTTCTTCAGGTGATTGGAATTTTGACCTGAACCCTTGCAATATGAGCTCTGTAAAAAAATATGGTTGTTGAGACATTAGGTTTATAAGTCCCAAGAATGCATAAGCTGATGTCCTCAGGGACGCATGGCCCAGTGGATAAAAGTGAATCCAGTGATTTGACTTAACTTGTTGAGTTGAACAAAAAAACCTTGGAAAGTTGAGTTAAAGAGCGAGTAATAACATCCGGTAGAGGTATGACACATGGAACGAGAACAATCTACCCTGATGGATGAAATAAACGGTTCAGTTCGAAATTCCAATCACCTGAAGAAGACCGGAGCGTACAACGGACGAAACGTCGTGAATATCGAAACAAAGATGAGAACAACAGTAAATATTGTAAATAAAGACTCTTATGTTTATATGTTCGCGTCCTTTGCTTGTTTCGTTCTCCCGCCGGCATTTAGGTTAAAAGACGTATTTCGCTACTTTATAAGACGCTCCGTTGCTTTAGACGCCATCAAAAGTTTTTGAAGAATCGAAAAAAAAAAAGTAATTTTCTTTTACTTCATAGTTCTCTCAACTATGCCCAATTTTTACCCGATGAAGACGAGAGCCGTTCGAAAAGTTCCAAGACTCACCTAGAAAGAGTTGGAAAAACAAGACATTTTTTTTCCACTATTTTTCAATATAGTCCCGCTTGACGTCAATGCACTTGGGCCAACAACGCTTAAGCATTGCAATTCTATCACTGAAGTAGGTGGGGTCCTGGTCCTCCAAAAACAACTCCACGGCACATATGATCTCATCGTTGTTTCGGAAATGGCATTCTTAACAGGTCGCCAATTATTCCAATGTGGGATATTTAATAACAAAAGTGATAGAAACATAAACAAAAAGAAAAATGAATCTAAATGACATCAAATAAATCAGCGTTTCTCAACCGGGGTACCGCGAAGCCCTAAGGTTCCGCAAAAGGTCCCCAGGGGTTCTGCGAGAACAAGTGAGATAAGCTAATGAACTTTTGACTTTTCAAATAAAAATTTAAAAAAAACTGATGCAGAAATTATGTTTTTGTTCTGTTTACATTTATATTATAGATATATAATATCGGTTACTTATATTTTTTTACGCTTCAGTTTAGAATTTTTTGTGTGAATGAAAACTCCCTGATGAAGTATTATAAACGAACAGTATCAATTTTATTTACCATTACCGAAAAATTTGATAAAGTATTAATTTTTCCTTAAACCAGTTATTCAAAAATATATACTATGATATTTACGACGTGAACTACGATGAAAATAAAATGAGAAAGATATGGTATATAATTTTGTTTTTGCACATGTGTCCCTCGAGACATGTAATTTATTTTAAGGCTTACGGAAAGGTAAAATGGTTGAAAAACGCTGGGTTAGATTATATACCCAAAATACATATTTAAAAAAATATATATATTTTAAATTTAAATTTCTCAGCGGCTGTCTTTCGTTCGTACGCATGCATAGACGCATTAACGTAAGCATAAACTTAGTCCGATGTAGTCCTAAAGGACGAAACGCGTCGCATGAACACTTTTCACTTTGTCATTACTTACATTCCGAATAATGCCCTTCTCTTTGTTTTACGTAAACAAACAAATCAATCAAGTCATAAAATAAAATAAAGATAGATTTTAAAAAATAATATCTGTACAATAAAGAAAATACATAATTTCCGAATTGCAAACACTATTGGCTGACCCATGTTTTCCTTTACCCCAGGAGTATGCCATGTAATACAGCAACAATTACAGCATCTTGACTCAATGAAGCTGTTGACAGTAAAATCCAAAATCTTTATCTTTGTTGACATTAGAGAAAAGGAAAATATATTTTTGTTAAATGTGTACAATAAAGAAAATGCATTATCTCAGTAATGGCCGGCGTTTCTTTTGTTTTTGTATATCTTAACACGGCTCGCTTTTCAGGTTTGTGAAATGAACGATGGAACAAAGACCCTGAAACTTGGAGATTTCGGCTTGGCCACCGAAGTGAAGGAGCCATTGCTTGTTGTCTGTGGCACACCGACCTACGTGGCACCAGACATTCTCTCAGAAAATGGGTAAGTCAACACGCATGAAGGTAAAATCCATAATTCCAGAATTAGAACTTTTTTTTTAACTTCCTTTTTTCCCCATTTAGCGCAGGGATTCTCAGTTACAGGCCACTTCTCGAAGGGTGGGATTTTATGGTTTCATGAGAACAATCTGGACCACAGAGCAAGATGACGATTTTTCTACAAATCAGATTTTTCAATCAGACAACTTTAGGAGCGGAAATAATAAGCTAAAGTATGAAGAAATGAGTGATAGTTGATAGTCCTAATTTTTACTTATATATTCCAGTACAAACCTAATCTAAGTTTACCTATAGTCTCAAGTATAAACTCGATATTTTTTACCTATAGCCACCAATATAAACCCCGCTAATGTTTACGCATATACTCCAGTACAAACCCAAACTATATTTACCTATAGTCTCAAGTATAAACCGGAGATTTTTTACCTATAGCCACCAGTATAAACCTCGTTCATATATACTCATATACTCCAGTACAAACCCAAACTATATTTACATATAGCCTCAAGTATAAACCCGAATTTTTTTTACCAATAGCCACCAGAATAAACCCCGCTAATATTTTTATATACTCCACTACAAACCCAAACTATACTTACCTATAGTCTCAAGCATAAACCCCAGATTTTTTACCAATAGCCACCAGCAGAAACCATACTAATATTTGCTTATATACATACTCCAGTACAAACCCAAAGTATATTTACCTATAGTCGCAAGTATAAATCCGAGATTTTTTTACCTATAGCCACCAGTATAAACCGCGCTAATGTTTACTTATATACTCCAGTACAAACCCAATGCATATTTGCCTATAGTCTAAAGTTTAAACCCGTATTTTTTACCTATAGCACCCAGTATAAACCTCGCTAATGTTTATATTTTCCAGTACAAACCCAATCTATATTTAGCTATAGTCTCAAGTATAAAGCCGATTAATATCCAACTATGAATTCAAATAAAATAGAATTTAAAAAATACGATTTAGACATTAAATAGCCCAACTGAGATTGATAAATTTAAAAAAAAAAAAAAAAAAAGCCCACGCCAACCCCAAACCACTCTCTTCTTCGTCAGTTATCTTACTAAACAAATGATGGGATGTTTTGTCTAGATATCGTTATAAAGCAGAGTGAAAATTGAATTTATGTCATTTTCCAAAGGTAATGGTAAATGAGCAGAAACGCAATCAACTGGAATTTGCCGATTTCGTGCAGAAGGCCGTTAAGCAAGTACGCACACCTACGTCTATCTAAGGATGCCTAAGGATTTAATAACGTATCGCTATCTATTATTCCTGGCTAATTCATGCTCGTGAACCCTTTTCCATCCATTGTTTCATTTGTATTTTGTTTGTTGTTTTTTTGTTTTTTAATTCTTGTACAAAATAAGAAATGTGCGCATGCGCGAAAGGAAATATTGTGTTGGCGGGAATTTGGCTTCTATCTAGCGAAATCCTAAAATGCTTTCCGGCAAAGAAGCCCCTGTAAATATTTTTAAGAAACTACGCTCATTGTTGAAATCACTGATTTTGATTCAATAGAATTTATAACATATAAAAACAGTATATATATATATATATATATATATATGAATGAATGAATGAATACAAGATATCGCACGTTGAGTGCTGCTGTTAACAAAATAGTGCTCGATGTAATGTAACAGGGCTAAGTATATATTAATAAACAAAGATAGTGTTCCTCACCGGTAGCACGACTCGGAATTTCATACACAACGCAATGTTCAGGTACTGTGTAGAGGCTGACCGGTACGTAATTTAAATTTTAATAAAAATATCTGGTTAACGCAATGCTGGCACAGTCCATATATTATACGAGGATTACGATTTTTTATTGTTTTAAAAATGTATATTGCATTGAAAATAGACGTGATTTGTATTTTATATTTTATTTTGAATTTAAAATAAACAGTGATTAAAGGTATTTATTAAAAATTATATATTAAAATAGACGGACCTCAAACATTGCTGGTGTCTAGCCTGTATTGTACCATATGATTTCCGCCCAAAAATGTTGGGTGTGTAAATTTGTTATTCCATTGCACCCACCGATCATCTCTTTTAAGTGATATATCCCTTCAGGACAGGAACGGTCATGGCCCTCCACAACTGTTTTTTTTTCTTTTATCATTTGTGAATTTCCCTGATTCTTCTTGGGAAAGGTAGTGGAGTGATTTCCCGTTGTCTTCTCCGTGCATTTGAATTCAAATCTTTCCTCCTTCTAGACAGGATGCCAACTAAAGCTGGAAAAGTTACGTAAAAACACCTTTAAAATCTGCTCGTTGCAAGTCCATGAATTTTAAATCTACACCTTGAAGCATTATTGAATACGAGTTCTTGTTTAAATAAGAAAATAAATGTCGTATTTTATGAAATAAAACAAGCAGCCATCCCAAATATTTGTTGTAAGGTTCGAGAGATAGGCTAAGTATAGATTCTGGTACTCTTCGGCGTCTGGATAAACAGAAACCAGCTTTGCATCTAAAACTTGAGAGATAATTTTTTTAACCATTTCATGCGGCAAAACCAAGGATGAGTCTTATATGCCATTAAATATGGCTTCTTAATTTGTCTTCTTTTGTATCGTTCTGTTCTGAAAGTATTAAATCACAGCAAAAAATGTTTCTTCTTTCAAATACATATTTTTCTTGTGATTTTTTCACAGGTATGGGCTAAAAGTTGATGTTTGGGCAGCAGGAGTCATCACTTATATCTTGCTCTGCGGCTTTCCCCCATTTGTAAGGTAAGCTGGACATTTATTTTAGAGGATTTTACGTTATAATTTAACAAACCAATTTCTTTTCGAGGATTTCACATTACAATTGAACAATCCACAGATTGATCAAGGCAACTTTTAACGTTATCGAGTACATTCAATATATTAACAATACTGGCTGTTTATCATGATTTCTTTTTACTTTGTATTTTTTCGGTAATTTTGTAAATCAGCGATTTTTTACTTGCTATCACTCCTTCTTTCATTCACCGCATTCACCATAACTATTTTAATAGTAAGCATATATCTTGAGTCTTGCACTAGGTGAACTTTCACATTTTAAAAATAGGCAGCGATATCATACCGTTTCCACGGAGCTAAAGTGGTCGTTTATCACTTGGAAAGCACTGAATTTGAATCCTCAAGAAACCAGTCAGTTTACCGAGAAATCGAATATGAATTTAATTGCTCAATTTACTGACCAATCAAATTGATTCCTGCAAGATCAACAGTGTCCCCTCTGTTTCCACTGGCTAAAAGTAACACGTGAACTCTTTTGATTTGTCATTCCTTAACTAAAATTTATCGACCAATCAAATTGATGTCCACGAGATAAGAAGAAAAAAAAGCTTTATCGGAAGCCTATCGCCTTTTACCTGAAGTACAAAATTAATTATCAACTCCCACAGGATAATGCATTTACCTCGGAAAAAGGGTAGGATCATTATCTTAGCCCTCAAAGTGTCCTCTATAAGGTGGAATTAGCGAGGTGAATGGTTTATTCGGCCGAGAACACTATCACAAAAAAAAATCCGGAACTAAGTAAATGAATGTAGGAACGAAGTACGAGAACTGTTGAAAAGTTCTCGGCCCGACCAGAGTCGATTGATTCGTTTTCTTCGGCTTATCAACCGTTTGCAGGTTATTTAAAACCAGAAAATACGATTAGATTGTAAGATTTTTTTGTGTGGGGGAGGGGAGGAGATAATAATGGTTTTAGTGATACAAGGCTTACTAATTAACCCATAACTGGGGAGGAGAAGAGTTGGATTCATACCTTTCCCAAGGATATTTGCGCGTAAGTGAATATAATGAACCCAACGGGAATTGGAATTCAGCTCACCGATTAACAACTTCGAGCCATTATCCATTATACCACCCGCATTTCCAAACTTACAGCACCTGGTATTCCCAAGCGGTCACCCATCTAGGTGGTATGAACGTGACCAACTGACCGGTCTACAAGCAGAGCAAGGATAACAACACGACACATTTTCATATAAACGGTCAAAGAATACTGGCTAATGTGAAAATAAAAGTAATAAAGACGTAGTTAGTCTAACAAAATAATTAGATTTTCAATACATGACTAATAAACATTAATGGACATTAAATGGGGGATCAATTTTGCTTCAAACAAGTCATAAACAGATCCCTTACTTTTTGACATAGATTTCATATATTTCTTGACTCCAGTGATTTTTTTTTTTTTTTTGTTGATTTTTTTGATTTTTCATATTTTATATCCGGGCGCACTTGTAGAATAACTAAAACTCTGAAGCGCACTTATCTAGGTATTGGCCAGGCTCGACCTTGCTTAACTTCGGTGACCGTAAGGGGCCCGGTGTTTCAACCCAAGCCTCTTGCTTGAAAATTCATATTAGCATGTTGCATATGACACAAGGCAGCATAACATTGAGATTTCTGCATTTCAATGAATTTGTGCCAGTGTGCTTTGCAAATGTTTGTAGCAAATAGAAAAACCTCAACTTGCTTCTTTTATGAGGATTTGAAAAAATATTAGGAAACCTAGACGTTATTTGATGTCATTTCTAGAGAAAATGCATCTTTCAAGTGAATGTAGATGCAGTCTTCAGGAAATGAATATTTAGAAGCAAATAGAGAGAAACACTGAACAGGAGACAGATTTTTTCCAAGGGTATGGAGAGGCGCTCTTCAGGGGACAGATTTCTCTAAGCGAATGGAACGGTGCTTTCGGTAAACAGATTTTTCCAAGGCGACGGAGAACAGATCTCCAAAACGAACGGAGAGGCGCTTTTGGTAAACTGATCTTCCCAAGCCAACGGAGAGGCGCTCTTCAGGGGACAGATTTCTCCAAGCGAATGGAGAGGTGATATTGTCAAACAAATCTTTCCAAGCCAACGCAGAGGTGCTCTTCAGGGTACAGGTCTCTCAAATCAAATGCGGAGACACTCTTCAGGAGAGAGAGAGAGAGAGAGAGAAAGTGAGAAAGACAAATGGATAGGCACTCTTTAAGAGACAGATCTCTCCAAGCAAATTGAGAGGCTCTTTTGGGAAACATCTCTCTTCAAGCGACTGGCAAGGCGCTCCTAAGGAGACAGGTCTCGCTAAGCAAATGGAGCGATGCTTTTAAGGGGACCTATCACTCCAAGCGAATGTCGAAAACTTCTACAGGAGATAAATTATTCAAAGAGAAGGTATCTTGTGCGTATATACAAAGCTTCATGATATATACATCCGATATATAGGTATTTGTTGAATATCACAGTACTTATCAGAATCGACGATGTTTCACACTGATGGTCACTAGTACTTTAAGTGTGATTTAAAATTGTTTTCTGTTCAGATAGTAAACATCAATTTCATTCAAGTAGATTGTTTTCCGCCTTGGAAAATCTAAGCTTTAGTTGATTTCTGTAGTGGTATAATAGATAATGGCTTGGAATGCGAAATCAGAGAGAGAGAAAGAGAGAGAAAAGAGAGAGAGAGAGAGAGAGAGGGTGGTATTATGATTATTTACATTATTCGGACTTTTATCCTCATCTTCACTGCCATATTCACAACGTTTCGACCGTTGTACGATCCGGCCTTTTTCAGGTGTTTGGAATTTCTAACCGAACCCTTTACTTCGTCCACCGGGGTGGATTTTTCTAGGTCCACGTACCATGCCTCTTCTGGCTGGAGAGTTGAGTCAAAGGGAAACAAATGAGACATTCGGAAGAGGCATGGCACGTGGAACTAGAGCAATCTACTCCGGCGGCCCTAATAAAGGGTTCGGTTCGAAATCCCAATCACCTGAGAAAGGCCGGAGCGTACAACGGCCGAAACGTTGTGAATATGGCGATGAAGATAACGGTCCGAATAATGTAAGTCGACCTTTTTTTTCCTTTTCCAATGATCTCTTATGAAGCGCTTTCTACTTCTTTTATAGCACAGACAACAACCAAGAGGAATTATTTGACAAAATTCTGGAGGGAAAATTCGAATTCCTTTCTCCATTTTGGGATGACGTGTCAAGTTCAGCTAAGGTATTTATTATTATTATTATTATTATTATTATTATTATTATTATTATTTCCTTTGATTTCTGTTGTATACACATTTCCGTTCCGGGTCCCAACCAGAGACCTAAGGTTAGAAATGGTAACATGACATTTTCCACTGATCATTTTAGTAAAAAAATAGGTAACCTAAGATCACATATATCCTACATAGATAAAACTCATCGTAATGTGTGAACTGTACTTGTGGGTACAATTTTTTGTATTTCTTTAAGGCATGGGCTACCAGGAATCCCTTCAATGAGTCTATTGGAATCTTTTCCAGTCAATCCGAGTGCTCAAATTACAACTGGAATTATTAATGTCTTCATATGCCACATTTTGGTGATTTCCACTTCAAGATCCTAGTATTTTGAAAGTTTTGAAGATACATTACAATCTGAAGGAACTGTCGTGTCAATAGGAAAGCAAATTCTGTTTTTGCGGTATTTGATCATTATGTCAAAGCAATTCGCTTTGATTGCCCTGTCTGTGTGTATTGCAAAATTCCATAAAAAAATTTACAGGTTCTATGTCTGCAACCAGGTCCTGATTGCACCAATATCTTCGAGTTTATTATTATTATTATTATTATCATCATCATCATTATATTTTGATTTCTGCTATGATCATACTACCTACCAAGTCTGCCGGAAGACCTAAGGTGGTATGTTGTTATGGCTATATTTCATGATTTGTTAAAGCATTACATGGACTAAGTTCTTAGTGTGTGGGTTGAAATTATCAGGACAACTTTTTTTGTATTTCTCTTAAGCTGGGATTTCCAGAGAGTTTTTCAATGTGTTGTTGTGTTTCTTTTTTATCATTCCAAGCGCACCTACTATGACTGGTACTATTCTTGTTTTCAATTTCCACATTTTCTCTATTTCGATTTCCAGGTCTTTATACTTCCATAGTTTTTAAAATTCCTTGGTTGCTATGTTACAGTCTGCTGGGCAAACCATATAAATTAGTTTGTTTTTTGTTTTTTTTTCTTTTCGGTTTTTGACAATTATGTCTGCCTATTTGCTTCAATCTTCTTGTCTGTAAAGATGGTTTAATCCCAAAGGATTGTAATGTCTTCTATTTCTGTAACCGGTGCTCGAGGATGTTCATACCAGTGTTTGTTAACATCTTTTCCAAAGTGTTCGCACATTGTCCAGTGTAAATATTGCCCCACCCTATCATGACGATTTTTATATTCATTTGGCGCAAGTACATAACATCCTGAGATAAGAGGGTCTATGGTTTCCTGATATTTGTCACAGAACCTGCATTTTGGATCCACACTATTATATATTTGCCAGAAAGTTCCGAGGGAAAAGACGCTGGTCTTGCACTGCAAGAATAAAGCCTTCCGTTTCAGCCTTTCTTCCAGATAATCGTAACAATCAGTGAGTTCTTAATATTATTATTATTGTCTTTTGGTCAACTTATTGGATGTCATTAGGTGGATTTTCAATTATTGAATATTATGCTACATCAAGCAGTTTTCAGGATCCCGTACTTTTCTGATTATGTTACGTCAAGCAAGGAAACGTGATGTGCCAAGCACATTATCGTTACCTTCTTCTTCTTCTTCTTCTTCTTCTTATTATTATTATTATTATTATTATTATTATTCTCGTTTTTCCTCGAGAGATTTTGCTTGATGGTTGTATCTCATCAAGTGGTAGGTCCGTCCTCGGGCAAATATCACCTTTTTGCAGGATATTTTCAGTGCGAAGAAATACATTAACATGAACAATGATAATATACAATACGCAATGAAATGGACTAAGTCCGACAGTTATTTAATATATTTTCTCTTTACACGTTATTTTAATAGATACAATTTATTTAAGTAAATGCTCTGTTTTTAAAGATGCGTTTCACGAGCAGATCAGATTGATCGAGAAAAATCGTCGGAATTTGTGTGTTTTTGAGTAAGTTCACGTTAACTTATCTCTCAGTTGCGTCTCAGTCTTTGGGCAGAGTGCGCTCAAAGGACAGAGGGGCAACTGAGAAAATAATACTGAAGAGGTGCCCAGCCCTGGGGAACAGCTGCCCGAGGCCGCGCCCTGCCATTGCACGAGAGGGACGGATCGGTGCTCGCACCGAGGCCAGCTCAACCGACGGTTGCGGGAGCTGTGGGGAATTTTTCTTCCTGTGCCGGGCGTACGCGCTCGGGTCCCCACCTAAAAATAGATCTTGTGTCACATCTCGTCCAAGTGGGGGGGGGACAGAGTAAATACCGTGTGTTTAACAACATTAATTTGGACTTCGCTAACCAGACTCTTCTCTGTAGCTAAGTGGTATAGCACGTCAGATCTAAATGACGGTTCCGTGTAGGACACAAGTTCGATTCCTGTAGGGGAGCGCATATTTTCTACGAAATTTCTCGAACATTCAGTACGGTACATATAATTAATACTGGATTTACTTTAATAAATTATATCTATTAAAATAACGTATAAACAGAACTTATATATATATTTTTTTTTTTTTGATAAGTCAAATTTTTTAACTCTTTCATTGACTACGCGTGTCGCCTTCATTAGATCGGCTTCTTTGGGTCAGAATGAAAGGTACTTGTACGTGCGTGCGTGTTTTAATATTACATTGCTAATATTTGCTTCTTAGGCTGGCGTCTTCTGGTCGGAAGGAAAGAAGAAAACTGCAGGATTTTATTTTATTTTATTTTTGTATTAAAGTCGCCCATCTCTGCCGGACTTGAATTTACCCTACCCTGCTTTTGCAACGTTTGGTGATATTATATATGGACCTGGTCTTGGATTCATCGTCAGAAGGTCTGAGATCAGCGCACTCTCAATGCATCTTCTTCTTAAAGAATCTTTTTTTCTTTCCTCATCAGACTAGAATTATCGTACGAACTCATATAATATATATATATATATATATATATATATATATATATATATATATATATATATCATGAAATGGACAAAGTGCGACAATTATTTTAAGACATTTTTATATTTATACATTCTTTTTTTTATAGATACAAATATTTAATAAATGCTCTGTTTATAATAAACAGTATTAACGACATTTATCGTCCTGAATGCCCGAGAAACTGTCATAGAAAATATGCGTCCTCCGACAGGAATCGAACCTGTATCCTATACAGCACTGTCATATATCCTGTAAAATCGACCTTGCTAACCGAGCTCTCCTCTGTGGCAAAAATCGGTAAAAGCACGCCAGGCTATATGACGGTTCCGTATAGAATACAGGTTCGATTCCTGTCGGAGGGCGCATATTTTCTATGACAATTTCTCGGACGTTCAGGCCGGTAAATGTTGTTAATACTGTTTATTATAAACAGAGCATTTACTTAAATATTTGTCTCTATAAAAATGTCTTAAAATCTATATATTAGAACATGTAAGTAACCACTACAGAATTGTACTTTTTTTTTTCGACGTTTAATAAATAAAACGTCTCATCAGGTAGTTTACAATGATGGTAATAAACGATCTTTTTAAAAAATGCAATTTATGAAACATCACTTCATTTTTCGTTTTTAGAAATTTTTCCATACAAAGTAAAAAGGATTTTTCTTTATAAAAATCCTTTAAAAGAAAATAAGAAATCAATAAAAGGAAGAGAAAAGAAAAGAAAAGAAAAGAAAAAAAAGAACGTCAAAAGAAAGCATAAGAAATAAACCCTACAAACAAGAGAAGAGACAAAAAAGAAAGACAAAAGAAAGACAAAAGAAAGAGAAGAGTATATTCAAAATTACACCGATAGAAAGCAAGAGGAAAATTAAAAAAATAACATATGAGAAGATGTTGATACAAATTAAGCCAATGAAATTATATTGAATAAGAGAATTGAAATTTGAACGGAAATGAAACGTCAGCAGATACGTTGGTTACAATGTCGATATTTCAAATTTTATGGCATTTTTTATGAAATTACATATTCAAACAAAATTATCTATAGAACGTAAATAAAAGACACTTTAAGAAGTAATACAATACTTAACAAAGCAGACCAATGTATAATAAATATTTATTGCTCTACTCTTGTATTGAACCCTGTTTTAACGTAATGTTTTGTACGTTGCAATTTTATTCTTCATTCTTTTACATTTATATATATATATATATATATATATATATATATATATATATATATATTTATAATTTGGAAAACCTCTATTTTAACATGTTTCGTCGATCAACAACATATTTTTTAACATAATCTCCTTCATTCTCATTGCACTTAATACAATATCAAATATTAATTCAACGTATCGGACATTATACAATGAAAACTTTAGTTAATTACTACTTTTTATGCTACGGATTTATTGATCCACCCTGTATCTCTTGTATATCCTATTTATCCTTTCTTACAGTTTTTTTTAAATACCTATGCATCTAGCAGGCCATCATTTTAAATAATAATAAAATGGGAGAGCAATATTCTTAATAATCGCTTCTTTTTTTTCTTTTTTTCTTTTTTGGTTGGTGGCGGTGTAACATTCAAATAAGCCCTTGAATAAATTAATCATACATGGTAAAGTCACGTGACAATGCAGTAGTTACGAGACGCGTTACAATATAAGCAACACTAAAAAAATAACTCTTCTTCACTTCGTACCTCAGTAGGTGAACATTACAATGATGGCAGTGAGGTAGGACCTAATTACGACAATTTACTTTGTACTTAATTTTTTACACACACGCGCGCACGCACACACACACTCGCTTTGAAACATTTTTGATGTCAGTGGTACTAAAACATGGTCTTTAACTATAAAGACCACAGGCTATAAATGTCATATGTTTTGTTCATGTTGTCTTTACACCAGATTTCAGGTTTCCATTCTTTGTAATTAATCGAACACGTTTACGGCGTATTCAGCAACTGAAATACGCGTGGAACCACCTCTTAATTACCGCTGTTCGCAGATTCACCCTGACCAGGAATGGTAGTACCCGTTTGTGCCCCAGCTATGGGCAAATATTTAAGCTCCAAACTGGGGTCAAAATACTATGAAAGTATAAAAACAAATTTTTATTATAAAAATACCAACAATAATTTTTTGGAAAAAAAAATCACATTTAAAAAATATCACCAGCAATACATTTGACTCTCGACAAAAACCTTCTACGTCTATGAAACCTGATCTAGAAACTGATTTCTTACAAAGAATGCATATTCTATTCATACGAACCTATCCTAAAATCTTGCTGGCATTAAATAACCCATTGAGGTGTTGATATGCCGTAAAACTAAATAAACCGATCAAACAACCTGAAATACGCTGTAATATACATTTTAGGGCTTATTAAAAATGCCTCTCGAATATATACTTTTTTTTTTTTTAAATAAGGTCAGTGAATAATAATTTTCTATTTATATCTGTCTTTTGTGTTGCCTAGGACCTGATTACTCATGTGCTGCAAGTCGATCCCGAAGTTCGTTATTCAGCGGCTGATGTCTTAAAACACCCTTGGGTTGCGGTAAGTTGATTTCCGAATTTATTTAAAAAAAAAATGGCCCGTAAAGTGAAAATGACACATGGAACATGAAAGTCAGCTGGAAATGACTGACTTCACTACGTGTTTTCTTGACTCCCGCCGTTGCTCAATGATTGGTTTAACAAATTATCGCAGACCGTTGCTGTGGTATTGTGAGTCCGATCCTCAGCAGAAGCCTTATCCTAGTGACCTTGCTCTGGGTTGCAAATTGTTTTAATGTAGAAATTCATTGTAAAAGAGAAAAAAGAGATTTTCAATAATCAAACATTTATTCAAGCATTCTTTCTTTGGTAAAAGATCGTGCGATTATGGCTCTCCACAGATACCTTTTCTTTGTTGTCTGTGAATTTTCATGACATTTTAGGTAAGATAGTGGAATGGTTTCCTGTTGCCTTCTTCATGGTTTTGGATTCGGAGTTGTGAGGTATTCACTGCCTTATAGGAGGAATTATATTACATGACAGTACAGCATTGTTTTCTTGATTTCTATAGAAACGTGTCAGCTTCTTACATCTTTGGTTCTCTACAATCCTAAGCAATAATTATCACCCCCTTCATGTTCTGCCATCCATTTTGACTGACCCGTGAAGTAAGTTACTAGCAGTTTATCTCTGCCTGTCTTTCCTTTGATATGTCCTACGAGTGTTAGTGTTAGCGAGTGGCTGAATTAGCTTCTCTAGCATGAGTTCGAATCTCGTCATGGTCGATTTATTAGGAAGGTGACTTTTTGATGAGGAGGCGATCCCAACGTGCGACACATTTGAAAAGTGCCCGAAAACCCAACCCATGTGAGTGTCATTGGGTCAACAGATTTATTTGGGAGACGTCGATAGTTGTTCTAGCATAAAGTTGCAAGTCATCGTGACCGAAGATTTGAACGTACTGACCTTGTTGATCACGCTAGATAATGAGATAATCTTTCACGGAAACTGTAGCTCAGCATAATCGAAGATACAAATCACAGGCGGGCTCTGTGGGTGTTGAACAAAGATAAATGTGCCTGAACAGGCATCTGCTACAGGGATTGCCTAGTCGCCCTAGTAGACAGGTATAACCAGATACCAATATGTCTCAGGACAAAACTGTAACTCGCATAAATAATTTATGTCAGCCACCGTTTTGTATTAAATGCTTAAATGACAAAGATCTTGTTTATCCATTATTAAAACAACAGGTAAACGCCAAAAGAATATCGTTGGAATTTAAATGTTTAAGTTCTCTTTAGAGCGACAATATTTTTCTCTGTTATTTTCCTATTAAAAGATATAATATTACTTTATTTATTTCTTTTACACCTTTCGATGCCATTTATATGGAATTTTGAAACCAAGACTCTTTTTGATGTCATTTATAAGGAATTTTAAGACCAAGCCTCTTTTCGGTGTCATTTATAAGTTATTTTGAGACAAAGCCTCTTTTCAATGTACTTTGTAAGGAATTTTAAGAACAAGCCTATTTTCGAAGTCCTTTATAAGGAATTTTAAAGCCAAGCCTCTTTTCGATGTTATTTATAAGAAATTTTACGGCCAAGCCTCTTTTTGGTTTCATTTATAAAGAATTTTGAGACAAAGCCTCTTTTTGGTTTCATTGATAAAGAATTTTGAGACAAAGCCTCTTTTCGATGTTATTTATAAGAAACTTTAATGCCAAGCCTCTTTTTGGTTTCATTGATAAAGAATTTTGAGACAAAGCCTCTTTTCGATGTTATGTGTAAGGAATTTTAAAACCAAACCTCTTTTCAATGTTATTTATAAGAAATTTTGCGGCCAAACCTATTTTTGGTTTCATTTATAAGGAATTTTGAGACAAAGCCTCGTTGTGGTTTTATTTATGAGGAATTTTGAGGTAAGTGAATATAATGAACCCAACGGAAATTGGAACTCCGCTCTCCGAATAACAATACCGAGTTATTATCCATTACACCACCCGCACATCCGAGGTTACTACATCTGGTATTACAACGCAGTCGCCCAGGCTTGTCGTTGCTTAACTTCGGTGAGTCAGTTTCAAATATCTCAAGGTCTCCGGGAATGATGTAATCAGCCTTCAGATGTCTCCTTCCTCTGCTTTTTAGGGATTTCCACGAGAGACCTCAAGATATAGCACAAAGCGAAATGACTGTCCATGTAAGACACTTATGATGTTCTCAAGTTATATCATGATCTTCTTCTATGTACCGCGTCCTTTCAGGACACAGGTGATCATGGCTCCCCACAACTTCCTATCCCGTATGGCTTTTAGCAGTTTTTTTCCCCTTTTGCTAAAGCCTCGCTCCTGTTTCGCTATCCATTCACTCAAGCTCGTCAGGTAAGTGGCTCGCTGTCTTCCCTTATCGCTCTTGGTCCCAATATCCACCGTGAGGGTTCAGTTTTTCAAACCCTCCTTCCTCGTTATGTGCCCAAGGAATTTCAGCTGTCTCTTTCTAATTTTGAGAAGAAGTGTTCTTTCTGTTGCCATTTTTTAAAGACTTCCTTGTTGCTTGCACGCCCCGTACATGGGATTCTCAGTATCCTTCTGTAGAACCACATTTCTTCTGCTTCTTGTTGTTTTTCCCTCATCCTTGGCGAGATTGACCAACACTCCCTGCCATATGAGAGGATGAATATCACATAAGAATCCATCACTTTTTTTTTGGTTCTAACGATTTTCTTTTCCGTTTCTCGGTACCTTGTTTTAACATTTGGGATGCCACTTTCGCTTGTCTAATGCGTACTTCGGATCTCGGGGTCACATTTTCCACCCCCTGTTAAAATGCTTATCAAATTCACAAACTAATTAAGTTCATCTTTTCTTTTTTTTTTTTCACAGAATGATACCGCCAAAGACGATGACCTGTACGTGGCCCAAGAACTGAATAATTACTTCACACGTTCCAAGAAGCCTAAAGGAGGAATCGCTGTCATGGCGGTACGTTTTACTTATATTCAAATAGTAGAAAACCAGGAATATACATACCACAATTTGTACAGTTCAATAGCAGTCCTTAGTAATTCTATGTGATCAGATAAAAAAAATAAAAGATAACTTCCTGTTTTAATTAATATGGCGCCAATATTGTGTAGCTTTAGCGATTTCTATATTTTTATTACTATCTTTATCTCGAGATAGATAGATAGATAGATAGATAGATAGATAGATAGATAGATAGATATGAACAAACTACATATGGAGCCGAAATTACTTATAGGTAGATATAAACAGAATGTGATAGATAAATAGGTAGATGAGAGAAGACGAAATAGATGTAATAGTGTGTGATAGATAGATAGATAGATAGATAGATAGATAGATAGATAGATAGATAGATAGATAGATAGATAGATATGAACAAACTGGGATAGCTAGCTAGCTAGATAGATAGATAGATTATGTTGCCAAACTGGGAGATAAGCAATGAGAAGAAAATCGTTTGTTGCTGATTACATGGGTATCGCATCTTTTACAAGTATATGAATGTTCCAATGGAAGTTTACATTCTAATACATCAATATTCCGAAGGGAAAGCAATTTTTCTTGAAAACAAGAAATCTTTGCAGCCAGGGAACATCCAGAGAGAGAGAGAGAGAGAGAGAGAGAGAGAGAGAGAGAGACCGGGACTTCTGGAACAACGTACTTTGGACAGGGGAATTAATTGGGCACAGTAAGAGAAGATCTGTTTGGCTGAAACCAAGACAGCATTTGTGTACAATATCCTCATACCAAGTGTGGAGCATGAGGGGCGGGAAACCTTGCGTCTTAGGGCGGTTTTGCTGCAGCAGGGTCTGGCCAGATCACCATCACAAAAAAATATATATAATGAATTATTTATTATACGCGAGGATACCTGAAGAAAATAAGATAGCATCTCTCAGAAAATTTAAGTTGGGGCGTATGTAGGCCATAGCCCATGACAATGACCCGCCAAAAAATGGCTCAAAAAAAAAAAAAAAAAAGAAGAAGTTGAAAGTTCTGGCATGGCCAAGTCAAAACCCGGATTTGGCTCGTCTATACAATATCCATCTTATTGATACAAATGATTATTTGATTTGGGGTGATTTGAAACGGGCTGTGCATTAGGGCAGGTTGATTTTTCACTTTTTTAATAAATCAATATTGCACACAGTATAAAAGCTGGGATTTTAGGTGATAAGTAGTAATACCAAAAATTAGATTCATAGCTTTTACCAATTTTTGAGCATTCAGATCTTTAAATATCGTCTGAAAAAATTGTACATAATTGTACGGCTTTTTGCTCACAACATGACTTCAAAGTTTTATTATTTCAAGAATAAATCCAAACAAAGTTGGTACTTTTTATATTAGATACATTGAATGGAAAATATATTCAAACCAGAATTTTAATTATCAATCACCACAAGCAAAATATGCAATTTTTTTTCTGTATTCGATAAGTAAAAACTCTAGAATAAATTGTAAAATATCACAAAATGGCTACTCAATGAATAACATTTGTTATATCATAATTAATAAAAATAAAAAAGTAAATGAAAGTGTATATAACACCATAATACTGCTGGGAACACATTATAAGACAAATTGTTTTAAATTTGCATTGTTTAGTGAAAATCATACTAAAACTAATGCACTGTATAACATATTACATCATAATAGAGTTACATTGTTCGATATAATTTCCATTTGAAGTAAATGAAGGTCTTATTTGATGACACAATGATTTAGTAATAATGAGCTTGTGCCATGCATCTTATCCATATACAATTTATAAAGCTTCAGTAAATTATAAATTTTATAAGGCTGTGCCTGTAAGGCTTTCACTGAGCACTGGAATGAAATTGCAACACCATTTTTTAACCTAAACTTAATCTTTTAAACTTGTTTCCTCAAAAAACGGTAAGTATTTGGAAAACTCCAACTTTCAAATTGAGTGGAATATCAATCAATTATGTGTCATGCGTGATACACGCTTAGGCGATCATGTATCTTTCGATACATGACTGCCACTTCTTTTTGCGGTATACCAGTTGCCATCCAAGGCAATAGAAGTCGGTCTGTTCTGCTATTTAACCATAGCTGGAGGAAAAAGAGGATTCATACTTTTCCCAAGGGTATTAGCACGTAAGCGAATGTAATGGATTTGATTGGAATTCGAACTCGGCTCTACTGATTCCTCAATCCGAGCCGCTATCCATTACGCCGCCGTGCCTCCTTGAGTGGAATATCACGGTTACAAAATCGGCCTGCCCTAGTAATGCATGCCAGACGCTCCTCTAATATCACACAGTCATCTTCTTAAACAGTTTTTTTTATTCTTATTTTCAGTCGACTGCCCTGGATAAAGGATCCAAGTTCTTCCAAGGGCGTGGCGGTTTCAGCGTCCACCCGCAACAGGATGAAATCTTTTAAATCCGGAAACATATTTACTGGCAAATTCCAGTTTTTATTTACTCCAGCTTTTCTTTGAAAATATTTACTTTTTTTTTTCTTCCTTTTTTTACTCAATAAAGCAACTTTTTACCCCCCTTGAACACAATAAATGCTTGTTCTATTGTTAAACTGGGCAACCTTTTTTTCTTACGTCAATAAAACAATGTTTACTCTAACCAGTCTGTTGTGTTTAATTTGGCGCTAGTTAACATGTGTACCGTTGAAGCTCAGACCAGTCACCAGACTCATTTGCAGGGTCCAGCTTCGTCCAACTTGCAGCATGTAGCTTAATGCATTGAAAATAATTATTTGGCCGAAAGGTTCTTTGTTTTTATGTATCGTGTTCCCTCACTTCTTAAGCGATCATGACCCTCCATAACTTCCCGTCCCTTGCAGCTCTTAATAAATTTTGTCTTTCTGTTATTTCTCCTAAACCCTGATCTACCATCCATTTACACAAGCTCATTACGTAAGCTATGCGTAGGAAACTCTATCCCTCTTGTCCCGTATCTGTCCCGTGAGTATCAACTTTTCCAAGCCCTCTTTCCTCATTATGTGCCCCAGGAACCTCAAATGTCTCTTCCTGATGTTAAGTATTAGTTTCCTTTTAGGTTCCATTTTCTCCAAAACTTCGTCGTTGCTCACATGTTCGTTCCACGGTATTCTCAGCATCCTTCTGTAGAAACACATTCCTGTTGCTTTAAATCTCTTCATTTTTGAGCAGATTGTTCTGTATTCACTCTTGTAGAGGAGGAGAGATATTATATAGGAGTTTAGTATTCTTTTCCTTGCTTCTAGCGAAATTTTCCTGTTTCTTAATACTCTGCTTAGCTTTTGGAATGCTTCTATGGCTATCCCAATACGCCTTCGGATTTCAGTGTCGCTCTTTCCGTCCTCTGTTAAAACATTTCCTAGATATCTAATTATATTGTTTGATTTTGGTACCTCCGATTTACAGCACACTTTGGGCTCATTTAGCTTCTTGATTGAGTAGTTGATTAACTGTGTGCTGAGTACTATTATACTAGGCACTCCACACTTTACTTCGGAATCTCCTGCAACTCTTCTGGACGGTCTCCTTTTTTGAAGTTGGTGAATGCTGCCATAATCCTTGCCTTCAGTTCATCTTTGGTGTTACAAGGAGTTTTGTTTGTCTCTCGCTCAGTAGAACAACATTCCTGTTGCTTCAAGTCTCTTCTTCATCTTTGAGGAGATCGTCCAGTACTCACCGTCATATAAGAGGACTGATATCACATAGGAGTTTAGTACTCTTTACCTTGCTTCTAGCGAAATTTTCCTGTTTCTTAATACTTGATAATATTGTTTGATCTTGGTACCTGCGATTTGCAATTCGTACTTTGGGCTCAGACTTTTACTAACAACCATGCATTTCTTGCCGTTGAGGTTTTATCAGTTCGACTCGTTTATCTTCACGACCTTCTGTAGGAGGTTTTGTAGCTTTCTTTCTGTGTCTACTATCAACACTGTGTCATTTGCATACTGTATGTCGTTAAAATATGAAAGGGAATTTATGCAAATGCTTACACATATGGTCTCTTGTAGCAAAAATGTCTGAGGAACCTTCAACAAAAATGCCTTGAACTTTTTATAGTAGTGCGGCTAGCTGTATGATGGGTCATATCTCTTGCGTCCCTTCTTCTTCTTCTACTTCTTCTTCTTCTTCTTCTTCCGTTTCCTCTTCTTCTTCTTCCGCTTTCTCTTCTTCTTCCTCTTCTTTTATTTCTTCTTCTTCCGTTTCTTCTTCTTCTTCCTCTTCTTCCGCTCCCTCTTCTTCTTCCTATTCTTCTCTTTCCTCCTCTTCTTCATCCTCTTCATTTTCTTTTTCTTCTTCCGTTTCCCCTTCTTCATCCTCTTCATTTTCTTTTTCTTCTTCCGTTTCCTCTTCTTCTTCTTCTTCTTCTTCTTCTGCTTTCTCTTCTTCTTTCTTCTTCCTTTTCTTCCTCCTCTTCTTTTTCCTCTTCTTTTTCTTTTTCTTCTTCTTCTTCCGTTTCCTCCACTTCTTCTTCTTTCTTTCTTTCTTTCTTTCTTTCTTTCTTTCTTTTCTTTCTCTTCTTCTTCTTCTTCTATGCACCGTTTCCCTTCAGGACGTTGGTGATCCTAGCCCTCTACAATTTCCTACCTTTTGCAACTCCTAGTAAGTTTTTTTTCTTTACCATCCCTCCCACCCGTTGTTCCACCATCCATTTACAAAAGTTGGTCATGTAACTAACCACAACCTGTCTCTTCCCTGTCCAATTTACTTTCGATATATCCTGGAAGTATCAAGCTCTCCTTCCTTTTTCGAAAAAGGTTGCCTAGGCCAGTGTTAAATCACGAATTTGCATTGTTGGTGTTACATTTTTTTAATTAACATACCAGATATCGAGATCGGGATTTGAACTCGGTTTACGAGATCTCAGCTCGAATATTCTTTGCGACTAGCATTTTTATTGTTTATTGTTCTATTCTTATAGTTAAGGTAAAATGATTTTCCTTATAGTTTAGTTTTTAGTTTTTTCCTTCCGCTTATGCAGTTAGGCGTCTCAGGAGAGACAGTCGTCTGTCAGCTGCAATGTAAGGAGACTGGAGGAGAGATAACTCGTGGGCTCTAAGAG